CCACGTTATACAGTTATATATAATAACTTTCAATAATCAACGTCCTCATCAATCTCTTCTATACCTTTGTGAGATTAATGCATGCGATGATATTGATGTATACACGTCTGTATATAATCTCCGCTACGTGTATATATATTTTACGTACATGTTGATTTTTTTGAGTTTCGTTTGACTCCAAGAAAAGAGTGTTGCTATTCTCACCGTTTACCAAAGTTTAAAACCTTATTATCATTTCTTTCCACCCCGTTATATCTGAAAGACCCTTAATATACCAAGTCAAACAGTTCACTCATCACTATCATCTCTTCCCTTTTTTTTTTGCTTCGCTATTTCCCATAAACTCTATCACGTCTCTCTCACCAAAATCGAAACCCATGATTATTTTGTGCAAACAATGTTATTTCTTCAGATTTGATCAAAAGTTTCATTCTTATTGGCTTATGTCTGCTGCTGTCGTAGGCTTAAAGCAACTTTGATTCTCTATCAAAGCAAAGCCGTGATCTGCAGTTTCAATTTCAATTTTTATATGAACATAGCTTAGGACAAAGCGCATATATATGATGTGATTTCAGTTTGCAAAGGAGAAATCAAATATTTTATTATGAAAAACTTGGGTGAAATAAACATATTAAAGTATGGGATAAAAAAGATAAATTATAGGGCTTAAATAATGTAGGTAGGGTTAGGTAAGGACGTGAGTGGGTAGTAGTAGGATTATTATGAATTGTTTTTTTTTTTTTCTTTTTTTGTGCTTTTTTTTTTTCTTGTTCCTTGCATGTATGCCACATAATTGTACATGAATACGATTATATGCATAGTTAGTAAATTCACATATAATATTCTTATTATTCACGTAGGTATGCATTTTTTTAAAAATATTTTAGTTTATGTACACGTCTCAAAGACACGGTAATTATAACTACGTCCTTGTTTCATCAATAAAAGGGATTTTCCTTGTAGTGTACGTTTCTTAAAATCAAATGTACAATATACATAATATGCACGTATGTATTTATTTTTCACATATTATTAAATTTAAATTTAAATTTTAAAATTTTAAGTAAAACCAATATTTTTTAATATATTTAGAGTAAGTAATATTTATTATTGATGGGAAAAAGTACAAAGCTCAAGCAATTAAGGTACTGAATGTGGATAAATCTTCTCCAAACATATTGGCATAAGACATAGATCCATACCAAAAACTTAAAGCTAAAAAGAAATAAAAACCTGACAAAGAGATACAAAACACAACAAACTATTAAAGAGTTTTTGACAATTATTAGATAAAAACAAACTAAGAAGCAGTGCCACATCTCCACATACTCTCGGCATCTCGAAGAGATCCATAGGGCCATATTGACTAAACCCAAATCTGACACAACACAGCAAACCCATATCGAAGGCTAACAACTTAAGCCAAATGCTTGTGGTGGTTGTGTACGTGGGCCAAAAGATAGCGATCGACTATCACAAGGACAACGTTTCACAAAGACTATTTGCACACCACAAAACAAAAAAAAACAAAAAAAAAGACCGGAAAGCAGAGGGGAAGGACTAGGAAGGGGAAGGGGTAAGGTTTTTTCAAGTGATAGTAAGTAAAATTAATATTTAAATATTATATAATAGCTGAAATTTTCACTGTATTTTAAAAAGTTTTCAAATACTATATATTTTCCCCCTATATTTCACTAACTATAATTATATGCGAGCAACATGTGTCTTTGCAATTAAAAATTAAAAAAATGAAGGAAATCATAATTTGATCATCAACCATTCTTAATTGTTGCAATGACTTTGTTGTTGAAAAAAAATATTTAAAATTATAGGACCTAAAGTGAAAACTGCTCAAACTATGGGGCGAAAAATTTAGTTTACACAACTACTACATTTGAGGTGGATTATCTAATTGACCAACTATTTAGGTCAAAGCCACATTTGACAGTTGTCAAGTGGTAATGATTAAATTCATAAGAATCTTTAATAATCTTAGTATAGCATGATTAGGCTAGTTTGTTAGAATAGTAAGTCCGTCCCCTTTACACCTAAGTTCGAATTTCTTTTTGAAAAATTGATTTAGAATAATTTAGACTATAAGTTGTATTTTTTATAAAAAAAATCTTAGTATAAGAAGCCTCATCATAGCAACAATTCATGACGCCTTTATCTATTTTTTACCAAGCATAGAAAATTTCTCTGAATTAAGCTAAACGCCTACAATTCTTTTGTTTCCATTACCCCAAAAAAATAAACCCTACAATATCATGCGGGTAGGTCAATTGCCATAGGAGGGTAATTTCGGTGACGTCTCACTCTAAGTAGGTAAGAAAGCAGCTCCACCCGTTTGATCATGGTTTGACTGTTGGTGAATTTTTGACATCAAGATTTTAGGTCCATGCCAATCGAATTCTTTTACCTTCATCTAAATTCCATCACTGAATATAATTATTAAAAAAATTGAAATTTATAGCTCAAGTAATTAAGAGCATTTAACCATAAACTTGAGGAACCGACTTCGATCAGCCTCGAAGGAACCCCACTTCCATCAGCCTTCAAGGGATGGTTTATAAGTCAATTCCTGGTCATCATCTTGGTTCACTGAATGAAAGAACAAATGCCGAACACCGACAACTTTGGCTTTACAAAAAACATGATAAATAACTTTACATTAAGAAACTTGAAAATTAATTAAAGATTAGGGTTCATAGATTTGGATTCATAAGCTGCATCCACATCCCGTTTCATTGGAAGGGGAGAAGGTACCAAATTGATTGACCAATGTTTTGGTCATTATTATGTTAAGGACTCCTAGGATTAGATTAAAATAATTTTAATTAACGAGTTTATAATTGGGTAATGAGGAAAACAGCTGCAACGCATATATCCAATAAGTTAGACTTAATTAAATACTTACAAATGACATTATTTTACTTTTGACTCAAATGAATTAAATAGCAAAAGATCGATTGGCAAGTGTTTGCATTGCAATCTTTTGGATTTGTGGGACAAAAAATTGTCAAGTGCCGGTGGCTAAAGTCAAATTGCACTCTTTGACTGCAGTCAGACAAAAGTTGATGGAGACATAATCTTTGGAGTGGAAAGGAACTATGGAAGGATCTTGCATGATGGCCAGTCTGACAAGCATTATACTCCAAATTAGTCACAACTCAACTCAGGAAACAATTGAAACTTTAATTCATATTGCTTCAGATTTAAGAATGAGACCTAATAGAGTTCAAGGTAATATGTGTAAGTATAGTTATATAGGAAGGAGAAGGCCAAAAAAAAAAAAAAAAAAAAAAAAAAAAAAAAAAAAAAAGCAGTTAAGGCAGGCATGTTTTTTAAAATTATAATGATAAATTTTTCAAAGAAGTTGAGGTTCCACTCAAATTGACAATGGGGGAGTAACAAAACTCCTTATAAACCCAGGTTAGGTTCCTTAACTACAAACACTCTCAACACGCCCCCGCACGTGTAGCGAACTTTCAAGCCTAACACATGGATAACATATATTAGGTGACGTGGGGGCACATGTGACCGTTGGGCCTAACACGTGAAACCTTGCTCTGATACCATGAAAGAAGTTGAGATTCCATCCCGAAACCAATTGGCAATGGAAGAGTAACCCAATTCCTTATAAACCCATGCTAGATTCCTTAACTACAAACACTCTCAACAACTCTTCTTAATGCTATAACACATCGGTATGTTTTGACGTTGAATGAAAACTTGGATTTTTTCTTAACTGGATAACACTATGACTATTAAAAGCACAAACTCATTATGAAAGTACGACTTAGATATCTAAGAATCTACTTCACATCCTTACAATGTTTGCATGAATTACCCCCCCAAAAAAAAAAATTAAAAATTAAAAGAAAACGCCATTTACGTGTGTTATTTACTATGATCTTGAGCATACCATTACCATAGTATACATTAGACTACCTATGGTTGAGGGCTATAGCATCATAGTCCTTTTTTCCCCTCTTTTTTCCTTTTTTTATTTATAAAAAAATCACTGTAGGACTTTGATTTGAACGAAACAAGAAACGACTAGTAAATGAAGTAGACGAAACAAGAAACGACTAGTAAATGAAGTAGCGAATGGCTTTGTTCCATGTTGAACCGCTTTAGTATCTTCTTGATATACCTTTTTTTTGTGATAACCACAACTTTCTATTATTCTCTCTTCAAACCCTAACCCTAACCTCCCTAATCCCCACCTGCTACAGTGCCACTGCCGTCGGAGTTATGCCGCTGTCCACCACCTATTATTGCACGACTATTATTGTATTTTGGTTAATTGGCATAGGTTTGCTTTGAAATTTAACGAGTTAAAATCACTAAAAAACATAAATCGAAAAAATGACAGATTGAAATCATTCAAATATATTTGTTCAAGAAAGGAATAACATTTGGAAGATAAAAAAATAGATAATTAAAAAATTCCTCTATTAAATTTTCTTTGGAACATTTACACCATGAACACATGAGGTTCGGATCCTAGATCCATCACTGCACACTATATCAGTACACCTTCGAACCTGAGACCAATGATATGTAAATCAAAACCCTTTTCCACAAAGCCAGGCTTTATAGACTATAACATGCCCTTAATAGATTCAAACAAAACTAGAGCTAAAATGAAAATAAACAAATAAAAACTTATTTGGAGTAATGACGTGGTCCATCCATATCAATAACGCCAACCAAATTTTTTTCCATTGCCTCCATGAAGGTAAAAACAGATTACAAAATTCTAGTGTAATAAGGTTTTTTTTTTCATTCATTTTAGAACGATATTCTAAAGTCTAAACTATTAGCCGGTGCAGTATTCGAGTACTGACTAAATATGACCCTCTATTCCAGTCCAGTCCAAGGTACTACCAAACATGGGCCTAATCTTTGACCCAAAGAAAACGTGGGCCTAATAATTCTTAATAAGATATTAGCACAATATTTGTGAAGCTGCGGTCATCAGCAAAGTACCAGCCATGCTGCTGACGATAAACTCTTCAGTCTCCTCCTCCCTCCTCACCAAATCTCCTTCCATTCCAATCACCACTTCCAGCTTCCCCAATTCCAACCCAGCAACTGCCGTCAGAACCCCAAGATGGAACCCGCAGGCCCTTCAATTTCGGGTCTCGTCGTCCGCCAATCGGACGGTCGAGGTCGCATCACCGCCGGAAAATGTCGGTGGAGCTGATTGCGCTGCGGAATCTGGAGCGGACATCGTGAGGAAATTCTATGGAGGAATCAACGTCCAGGATTTGGCTTCTGTGGAGGAGCTCATCGCAGAGAAATGTGTGTACGAGGACCTGGTTTTTCCTCGTCCTTTCGTTGGCCGCAAGGTACTCTTCTGTATCTGTCATCTGCTTCTCTCTTTTGGTATGCCCTCGCTTTCATGGTTGATATTAGATTGTAGTTTAAATTTTAAAATAAAATAATGTAAATTGGCAAAATTCTAGCACTGAGTTGGAATCTGCATGTATGTATGTATCTACCACATTCCGGCTTGTGGATTATTATAACAACAAACAACTCTATTTGTACTATTTTATTTTTAATTTCTTATTAAAAAAATTTATGTGTAGGTTGGGTATGAAATTATGCTCTAATATTTGTAGTAAATGGATACTCTGTAAGGATATTATTAACAGTTTTAGCTAGTGCTAATTGAATCTGAAGGGTTGTGCTTGCAAAACTTAAATTGATATTTGCAATTTTAAACATTATTGGTAATAATAATTCAATCAATGTGCAGGATATACTTCAGTTCTTTAAAAAGTTTAACGATTCTGTTGGCAAAGACCTTCAATTTGTTATTGATGATATCCATCCGAGCCCGCAGGAGTTGGGCGGGGGGGGCAGTTGGGGTGACATGTTGGATGTTTATGGTATATTAATGAAATTTCCATTATCTCTTCTTCATGTTTTGTTTTTTTTTTTTTTTTTTTTTTTTTTTTTTTTTTTTTTTTCTCTGCAATACAATTATCCGTACTGAGAATAGGACATATTTTCAGAATGGAATGGGAAGCCTTTTCCCTTTAGCAAAGGATGTAGCTTTTATCGGTTGGAAGTCGTCAATGGCAAGAGACAAATAATGTAAGGATACCTGATTATATTATTGCATGAACATTCAATTTCGTTCCTGAAGATGAGAAAAGATCTTGTCCATTATGCTTCTGATAGTGTGTGTTTTTGAAATTTTAGGTTATATCAATATTTTGGGTTGAAAACCAAAATATTTTGATTGTGAGAATCCGATATTTCAGAATTTTTTTCCTGTTACTTCGGTATTTGTTGTTCAGAAATTGGTTGTTATTGCTCTGTTCTTGTACTTTGAGATGATATTCCTAGTCTAACTTTTGAGGTTGCATTTAATAAAAGTTTCATTCTTCTCAATTTTTTAAGCAGTTTCTTTCCATGAAGAAAAGAATCCGTAATATCAAATTCATGCAGTTATGATTAGGAGTTTCAGCATGTTAACTATTTTCTCAGTATAGGAAAGAAGATGTATCTCATCTAAGAGGGATTGAATAGAAATGTACACATTTTCTTTTCTCTGAATATACTTAAGTTTCTTCGTTTCATATATGCCCCCTTAAACAATCCTGTGAAACATGAAGCGCAAACAATTTTAGATTGCACGGAGTATCTGATACGGATATGACCCCGATATGCCTCAACATGTATCTTTGCATACTTTCTAAATACGTATCCAATTGAATTTTTGAAAACTCCTGCTTTTGGATATGGAGCGGTGGTTTTTAGTTTCCTTTGAAAGGAGTATTGAGGGTAAATTAAAAGGTTTATATCAGTATGTGCACCTCACATTCAAGGTCCATAGAATTTTACACCAGCCCTACAACTATTTTTTCTGTTATCTTCTTGGTTCGTGTGAACTATGCTCAACATATTCAATTGGGTTTATCATAAGTATTTCATTTATTAATATAGTCTTTATGAATTTCAGCAATTTAGATATATAAAAAACTTACATACTATTTGAGTATAATTTCCACTAAATTTGGTTCTTTCTATTTCTAATTCCAATACATCCATATAAGCAATTTAAATCAATCATCACAAACACATGAACACCAATATTTTACATGGTTTGTCTACCTGTATACATGCAATCAATCCTGCATTCCTTTGTTGAACCTAAACACTTCGTTTTATGAAAATATTACAGGTTAACCCCAAAAATTTACAATCCTAAATGTGAAAATCAATTTTGTTCACATTTGGTCTGAAACCTTCGCTCAATCCTCCTCTTAAAACTGAAATCTCAGAAGATGTATAGGTTCTCTAGACTACACTCCTCTAGACTCTAGAGTTATATAGGAGGAGCCTCTGTGCATGTCCAAGTGTGTTTAACTACATATGTGATGGCCAATTGAAAAACGACAATAGAATCACGCCAAAGAGGAGAGAAAACCTAACTGTGTTATCTTTTATGTAAGACTCCATTGTCACCAAGTGGGAAGGTGCTTAAAACCCATTAAATCTTGCACACCACCTCACATGGAAGCACTGGGCAGTCCATGGCCATAAGGGGAAAGAAGATCACCCCCTTTTCTGCTAAAGCCTTTGTGCCTCCCAAAAACAAAGGCTCTGAGACTTACTCTCACAGGAACTCTCTCTAAAAGCTACAGGGGTTTCTATAAGCATGAGAATTACTATCAACTCAGAAAATGTGTTGAACATTTGATTTCCTACCGTCTCAGTCGATTGGGGTAAGTTCTAAATCAACGCCAAGGGTGTAGTTCCTGCAAAACCCATAATGGGTAGAATAAGGTATTTTGGGGTTTTGGGAGGTTTCAGTCTACTGGCAGGAATTCTCAATCTACTCTGTCATCTTGATATGCTAGGCTAGTCTCACCCAATTGGGTCTTCATATCATGTTTAGCGAGTCTATTGAACTCGAGCCAAGCTTATATCTACTAAGTTTTCCTGTTTTGACTCTACTCTTCTTTATTCATAAAAGTTCTAGGTATGATATAACATTTCAAATTATGTTTGGACTATTGTAGACCTAGGCAAGCTTATACCTACCTCAATCTTAGCAGTACTTCACTAGTAGCAAGCTCATTTACTTTATCAATATTATTTCTTAATTTTGTTAGAACATGCCTGCACAATGTTCCATTTTTAAATATGTTGAGTGCAAAGAATTTTGTTGGTAGACTAACTTTTCCCTTGTAAAACAGCTATGGGCGAGATAGTGTCGAGCCTGCTATCAAGCCTGGGGATACTGTGTTGGTAAGTATATTACAAATGCTTTAGATGCTAGGTGCTACCATTTATTGGTTCAGGTGACTCAAATGAAAAAAGGATAAAAATAAAAATAAGACAAGAAGGATGAACATAATTTTCTCTCTCTCCCTCTCTCGCAATATTTGAACCAAAGACCTTGTTTGCTTTTAATTGATAGATATGTTTTTACTAAACAGTCAAATACTAGACGTGGTGTCATTATTTGCTTTTAATTGAATGGATATGATGATATCTCTTCCCCGTTCACGTAAACATTTAAATATATCTCCAGTTTGGTTGTCCAATTTCTAAATTTCCTTTTTAACCTAATGGACACAAAAATTAGACATTTGCTGAAATTGTAAAATTAGAATTGGTTCAATTACTGGTTCAATTTTCTCTTAAATTCGTATTTGATTTACAGGTTGCGATCAGAGGTGTGGCTTGGCTTCTTCGACAGTTCCCTCAGCTGGCTGACCGGTTTTAAAGTTGTTTTTTTCCACTCACTTTTTCTTATCTTACAGAGATATAAACATAATCTACAGTGGTCTTGTATGAGCAAGCAAAAATGTATATACACAGTTGCACATATATATAGTATCCACATGTAAGTATGTTCACTTACTTTGTTGCCGATCCCATTTACATAACAATGGTCCAATTAAAGAAGGCATAATTATTTGAGGAAAAAGAAAGACAAAAACCCTCATCTTGAGAAATTTTTTGTTTCTTTCTCCATCTATTTCTTCTTATTCGGTGCTGCTTCTTTTTTTGGTCGTTGCCTTCCTACTTATTTTCAATTCTATACTTGTGTGCTTTCTTGGTCAGATACTCTGTTTACATACAGGAGAGTCGCACCAAAGATCAAATTTTGCATTTTCTGTTTATCCCTGGAAATCTTGGTTGGTGTTGAATGTTCAAAGTGTATTTTGGTTAATTGTGATAAAATATGCTAACCAAAAAGAAAAAAATTGTGTGCACTTTTCTTATCATAAACTGTTGGCCGTTGTCTCTCCCACAAGAAACCGATTACAATTATGACAGGTTTACTTATAAGTGAAAGAAACAAGATAAACAAAGAACGTCAATAAGATCAATTATTCATTCCTAGTTAATCTATTTCTTGGTTTTTGGGTATTTGACTAAGAATTTTAAGGTGGGACCTATGAATTAAATTATTCTTGATGTGTGAGTGAATGCATGCTAAATCAGGATGGAAATTAATTCATCTCTTCTTATTTCCATTACTTACGTAAACGTGGACCAAAGTTAATATCGGTCAATGGCTGAAGTTGAGAGAGAGAGGTGATATACGTTTGGATAACGGAAAAAAAAACGTGAAACGTGATGTTTTGGAATTTGGATTAATTACAGCATACTTGAGTTTCAAGGTCTCTTAATTCAAATTCCAAGTATTGAATTATGTAGTCCTCATACCTTGCTTCACTATTGTCTTTGCCATTAAATTCTGTCAACTAGTTCAGCAAGGATGGTGCTTGCGGGGCTTCATACTAGTTCAGCAAAGAAGGTGCCGAACGACATGCTTGAAGATGCTGATCAAAAGGGTGTCGAATGGAACTAAGGCCCCGTTTGGTTCACGGAATGGATTTGAGGGGAAAACATTTCCCATGTCATTTCCCAAGGAATGAGAATGAAAGATTCATTTCCCATGTTTGGTAATGTCGGGAAAGTAACCGGGAGATTTCACTTTGTTTCCTTTTTGTTTCCTTTCCCATGTTTGTTTTAAGTAGGAATGGAAAACAAAGTTTGTATAATTTTCCAATTATACCCATATTAAATCAAATAAAAAAAGAATGCATTTAATGATACGTTGTAATTATAAATTATTCATAGGAACAAAATAGTCATGAAAATTGTGCATTAAATGTTGGCTCATTTTCCTAAACTTTTTCATGAGGAGGGAAAACAACCCAAGTTAAGAGGAGGGATTCACTTTTCCCCTACTTTCCCATATGCCAGGAAACCATTTCTCATGCCTGGACTTACCAAATATGGGAAATCAATTGAATTCCCATTCCCAAGCCTCCTTTCCCATGAACCAAACGGGGCCTAAGGATATGCTGATTGACGTAAGGAAATGGAGAACGACAAAAGCTTCTTTGTGCCGATTCATATAAGTTATAACGGCGCTAAACCCGAAATTGGACTAATATGTGAGATGTGTGTGTCATCGGCAGGCAAGTGCCCTCAACGTGTTTGTATGTGCTTTTGGCAGGCAAGTGCATCCGGCAGATTAGTGTCTTCGGCAGGTGAATATGGATGACAGAAAGATAAATGAACAACCATGATGTACATTGTTCACCCGAATAATTATGAGATGTGTGGGGTCTACTTCAATAATCCGTCCACAGACACATCCCCTTAACTAGGGTACCACAAGGCCCCACCCACAGGACTGAAGAATTTCTCCAAGTCGACACACGTTTTCACCGACCACATCTCTTTCGTTATTTTGGCCTGCACTTGACTTTTTATTAGACAATGACTTCGGTTGATGCAAGGACTGGTTTTCTGTATAGTTCAGTCAAAAAACTCAAAAAAAACACCAGTTTCCAATCCAAACCACTTCCTTTGAACCCATGACATTTTCTCTGACTTCCATTTATCTTGTGTTTCAAAGTAATTCTGTTGACACACCATGAGGATTATTTACTCCCGCAGATAGTGCTTCAATAATCTGCAGCACTTCCATCGAACGTACTTTTGGGTTCTGGACTTGGCAGATTCTCCAAGGCCCTCGAGCTTGTAGCATCTAACTTGGCTTCAAGTTTTTAGAGGTAAATATATTTTGCAGAACTGGTATATATCATGCATGATATGGTTTTGATATTTATATTTATAAAGCAACAATTAAAGTAGCATTATTTGTGGAGACAAAATTAAGAGTAATTTGTATGTACATAGTTTTAAAATCTAATTCAGCAAAATCACACAGCTTGTTGAGCCATAAACTTACATTCATATATTCTATACACGTTTCTTGGTTCACAAAGCTTTCTGGAGCTGAAAATTCTTCCTTGCAAAACTGTAAAACAAATTAACATAGAAAGGGCTTCTTGAAATTTAGGGGTCACTGTATAGTGTCATCTATGTAAGAATCTTTCGACCGTACGAAAGCTTAGCCAGATTTAGAGATCCTGCTATATGGGAGGTGTAAAATGAAAGGCACCAATTGTTGCTGCAATTTACTTTTAGCATTTTGGTAGCATTTTGTTCTTTTACAAAAGGTAGTGAAAGAAATTGATAGAAAAGTAAGAAATGAGATGATATATTTGAGAAAGAGAAAATGTTGGAGGAATGATCACAAAACTAAAGTATATGATGGAAATATAAAGTGAGGCAGAGAGTGTTTGTAAAACAGAGAATTATTCAAACTGATTTTTGTTAACTTCTTTGATACTACAGCAGCCTATAACATTGGCTATATATAATAACACTCAGACCTTTACATAAACAGACATTACTCTTGGATTAGTTCCTAGAGTTGCAGACACAACTCTAGACTTCTAAAGAGATACAACTCGTCCTAAACATAGCTCTTCTCAAGAGACACAACTCTACTTATAGAATGAAAAATGAAAAATTGTTTGAAAGATATATTTTCTGGGAGCATTTTGTTCTTTCTCATATTCTTCTACTCTATTTCGACTTCTTTAACTAAAATTTGACCACCACATGTTTAAAGGTTACTAAGGGCATGTTTGGCAGTGATGTAAAAGATCTCAAAGTGCTTTAACAACGTTAAGTATTTTCTGAGTTCATATGAAGTTTTGGGCTCTCTTTGGGAATACGGTCTTGCATTTTGTTTAATTATGTCAATAAGTTGATGATTGCCTGAAGTGATGAAGCAGATGAATTTTCTTCTCCTGTCAACACAAGGTAGGTATTATTAAGTTTCCTTGATCCTATTCTGTGAGCAGTTGCTGGTTAGTTCTTCTCTTTCTGAGCTCCTATTGTATACTGTCCTTTTTCCAACTCTGATAATTAATGATTATTCCATTTTACTTGTTATATTTAGTTCCCTATTTTTTTTTCTTTCCCATATTTAGGTTCTACATCTTTTGCTGTGACCAACAAGGAGGACCATGACAGAAGTGGAATCTGCACATGGGTCATTTGTGAGCAAGGCTACAGGTCATCCGTTGCCACCATCAGACCACGGGAGTTATCGTCAACCTCAAAATTTACAACCCATACCGGCAATACCACCCAAACTTAGTAAATGGGATCAAAGTGCTCCAGCTCAAGTAAATACAAATGTATTCACTGAAGTATTAAGAAAAGATCAACAGGATGCTACAAAGATACTAGGTAAGTGTGAGCCTAATAAAACCTCAATGTTTTGGGTCCATTTCAAGTACGTTAACGTTCTTGTAGTTTTGTTTTGTTTTGGATGTACGAATCTTATCAGTGGCTGTTTTTGCTTTGCGCTTCGAAATTGTGCTACAGAAACACCAAGCAAGGATGTAGCCAATAACGTTCCAAATGTTAGAATTCAGACTATGATCTGAATTGTAACTTGCATGCTACAAAATGCTACTGAATGAGTAGAAGTTTCAGAAGGATTTTCAGAGTGAGAGAGAGCTTGAGGAAGGAGCAAAAGGAAGAATTCTGTTATTCTTCTCACGCACACACTGTGCACTGATAACAGCTGGAATAAGATATTCCAAATTACATCATCCAAATCTAGCCATCCATTCTTCTATTCTAAAATTCGATCTTAGCTGTCCACTTGGACTATAATCCAAGGGCTCACATTTAAATCTGTAAATTTAAACTAAACACAAAATCATACCAGCTAAAACACTTATATTTCAACACCAAATTCAGGTGATCCTCATTCAAACTTCATTTCATGCACATTAATTAATCTTCCAACTTTTATAAATGTCAAATGATTCTTATCAGGATTCTTATGTTGATTGATATTTATTGTCTTGATTATATTGGCAAGGTATATATAGAATCTTCATTCTAAAATATATAGTTGGGCTAGTTAAATTGCTAATAATATGTAGTTCTTTTGGGTGAATATTCATATGGCATGTTTAAAGCTTGTATGTCCTGATTGTTTGGGTCTTGGCAGCGTTGACAAACACCAACCTAGTTCCCTATGTCATCCTACATCTTGCTGCTCTCAGTGGTGACTGGGATATTGCTAGAAACTTCTTGCAATTAAAGCCACAAGCTGTAAGGGCTAAGATCACAAAGGGTTCAGAAACTGCTCTTCATATTGCAGCTGGGGCCAAACGTACAATATTTGTTGAAGAGCTAGTTAAATGGATGACATCAAATGACCTCGAATTGAAGAATGATGTGGGAAACACCGCTCTTCATTTTGCTGCTGTATCTGGTATCAAAAGAATCGCTGAGGTAATGGTGGACAAGAATCCAACACTACCTCAGATCCGAGGTATCAAAGATTTAACACCTCTCCATATGGCCACCTTGCTTGGGCACAGGGAGATTGTTTGGTATCTATACGATAAGACAATTTTGATGGACCGTGACCATATGAGGCTTCTTATTTCTGCCATAACAGCAGATCTTTATGGCAAGTGTAGTATATATATACACCTTTATCTTGTTTCGATAATCTCTTTCCTATGCGTACTGTTTTCTGTTGAAATGAATAGAAAAGGACTTAGTATTAGGGTGACCACTATTGTCATCTAGGATTTTATTTTGCGTTCGTGACAATTCTTTCATGGTAATAACAGATGTAGCACTGGATATAATTCAAAAGAACCCTCAGATTGCTTTTGCTCGAGATGAAAATGGAGAGACTCCACTTCATGTAATGGCTCGAAAGCCTTCAGCATGTTATAGTGGAAGTCAGCTGGGATTCTGGCAACGATGCAAAGGTTCATGTAAGTAAATGACATTTTTCTCTTGACATTCTATTCTGCTCTTTTACCATCTAAAATTTGTTGGATGTTTCTTAAAGTATATCATATGTTTCTTATTGAGATATCAATAATTTATCGACTCATTATTGACATGTTATGGGTACGTTATTCATACGTCTGTCATACACAGAGAATCTCAACATGTATTGTAATCTGAAAATCTCCGCATCGCATAATCGTCCTTTGCTGATAAAAACATGGTTTGCTGTTTTATGCAGTACTCCCCCATACAAAGGCTCCTTACGGAAAAAAGTTAATGCATATGCAAGCCACTCAACTTGTGAAGCAGCTCTGGGAGAAAATTCTGACCTTAAACAGTGACTCTGCGATAAGTGATTTAATTAGAACGCCTTCCAGCTTATTGTTTACTGCTGCAGAGTTGGGCAATATTGACTTTCTGATCATACTTCTGAGATCATACCCTGGTCTTATTTGGCACGTTGATGAACAGAATCGAAGCATATTCCACACTGCAGTGATTCACCGACAGGAGAAAGTTTTCAATCTCATTTATGAATTAGGTGGTCTAAAAGAATTAATAGCTTCTGACAAAGATAACGACAATAATAACATGCTTCATTTGGCCGCAAAACTTGCACCTGCAATTCGACTAAATGATGATACCGGGGCGGCTTTGAAGTTGAGAAGAGAGTTGCTTTGGTTTAAGGTGATATTTTTCCCCTCACTGATTGCTTTTTTAGTTAATTTTTCGTAATCTGTCATCTATGTTATTGGAATTTAGTTTGCTCATGCCATGCAGTTATCTAACTATAAAATTTTTATTAGGGGAGTGATTGGCTGGTACTAGATACCAATGAACAATGCCTGGTACACTAAAGTTATTGATCATAAACCCACATAATATAAAATCAATCTTAAAGATCATCAAGTACCAAGTACTGTTTATTGGTAACTAGTTCCAAACAATCTTTATCTTCAAATTTCAAGTAAAAGATCGACTTTACTTTTTTTAATTAACGGGAAGAAAGGATGGTGTTAGTATTGATTTTGTGATTGGCATTTCCTAGAGACAAATTAGACTAAGTATAGATGGTAAATTAGTTGTGATGGTGGCTGTCAAAATTCCAAGATATGCTCTGAAGGCTCATATGTCAATCAACGATCACTAAGGTAAATTCTTCATTCAATCATGCATCTTGATTGTGGTATTTCAAGCATTATTTCAAAGTCACAATCTTTTTAACATTTCGATTAAGAAGACTTTTTATTTTAAGAAAGATTAAATTGCTTTCCTATTCTGAACTTTAAAGAGTCTTCTTTGATTGGAAATCAATTAGTCTGATTCTGTCAAATCTGATATTCATGATTGAATACAATTTGTGGTCTCCTGTTTGGCGTCATCACTTAGAACCATATAGGAAGTTTGGGTCTGTGATTCACAAGGCATCTAAATCTTATATTTATGATAGGAAGTTTTGCATGGGCTGACGAATTGATGTAGGATTCTAAGTGAATCAAATATGATTAATGGCAAGTGATTGAGCACTTGACTTGGTGCTCTTCTCTTGCAAAAAGGAGAGTGTAGTTTGTATAAGAAGATGTTGTGCTTCTTTGTTTGGGACAGTTTTCATATAGTTGTTTGAGCATCTAAAATTCCTAAGAAAACTGTTGTGCATATATTTGAGATAAATCATCAAATGTTACATGTTTACTTGGTGATTTATCAAACACTTTAATCATTCATTTTGCATTCATTTGCATTGATCGATGACTCATACGGTTGAGGGCACCAAGACCGTGGTGGTGGTTTTCCTCCGGCGAGCTTGAAGCAATCATGGCCAGTATTGCGTTCAACATAAGGAGTGTCGAAGATCATCTTGTAACAGAAGTTGAGTTACGAAGAAGTCGGTAAACATTATCTAGAATGTGTCTAGGATAAGTGTGTGAGTACTTCTTGTAATCATCGTTCTATAGTGGATTTGCCTTGGACTGTGAAGTCCTATGGATTTTCCCCAGAGGTGGGGTTTTACCACGTAAAATAACTTCTGTATTTTTATCTGTTTTTACGTTCTGTACTGTAGAGGATTGATACATCGTATCAATCCCTTTGACGTGTTTTTATATATTACTGTATTACTCTTCACTACTCAAAACGCAGACTTTACTCTTTCACTCTTTTAGTGTTTTAAGCCATCCTATAGGTATTTTCATATGGAACTTGGGACCTCTTCTAATATTGAGAAGAGAAGTCTCACTAGACTAGCTAATAGCTAGTGGATAAGATGAACTTTATGAAAGAGCGTTGCTTGAATCATAACTTGATTAGATTAGTTGTTGTGATGTGAAACAGAGTCCTTGGACTATACATCCATTTATCAATGTCATTAGTCCAATACTAGCATTGGCACATAATGATTTCTGATTCTTTAAAAAATTAAGATTTAAATTCAAATTTACCTGATAGCTTTTACAGAGTTAAGTTCGTATTATTATGTGTTGGATGCTAAATCCAATTTTTGGTATTTGTCATACTGATAATTCTCACACAAATTTAGGAAGTGGAGAAAATCGTCCAGCCATTGTATAAAGAAATGAGGAACTCCATGGGGCAAACACCTCAAATTCTATTCACTGAGGAGCACAAGGAATTATTACGAGAAGGAGAAGTGTGGATGAAGGGCACTGCATCGTCATGCATGGTTGTTGCAACGCTCATTGCAACTGTAATGTTTGCTGCTTTCTCCACTGTCCCAGGTGGCAACAACAATGACACTGGTATTCCCATATTCCTTCAATCAAGGGCCTTCATCGTTTTTGCCATATCCGATGCTGTTTCGCTCATCTCCTCCGCAGCTTCCATCTTGAGCTTTCTGTCCGTTCTGACGTCACGCTATGCTGAAGGAGATTTCCTCCATTCGTTACCCAACAGATTGATCGTAGGGCTTGCAACTCTATTCATCTCCATAACTGCCATGATGATCACATTCGTTGCCACAGTATTTATTGTTCTTGGCTCCGAATTTCATGGCATAAAAGTCCCAATTGCTTTGGTTGCTGGCGTCCCAGTTGGTTTCTATGCCTTGCTACAATTTCCCCTTCTTGCAGATATGGTCAGTCATGCTTACATTTCAAGAGTATCTTTTCGTCCAAGCAACAATCTTTTGCACTAGTTTCCATGATTAAATTAGTGAGCAGCACTAATTTATTCATTGCGTTTGTCTTAATTTGTGTTTTTATTTTTACAACTATGAACCGAAATTTATGTTTTGCATTGTAAAATTTTAAGTTGTGCAAGGACTGTATCAAAGACAAGTAAATCGACGAATCACTTATGAGAAGAAGCATGGGAGGTGCTTCTCCTAAGGCTTATTTAGAATTACTCCCGAACAAGCTCATAATCACTTGAAGTGGTTTAAGTGATTTTATGATGCTTCTCCCCTAAGTAATTTGGGCATTCTCCGAATTACTACCATTTTTTTTTATTTAAGAAGTTTGAGAATAGGTATGAAATTGCATTCCAAACCAACCGTACGCCAGTTGAGATTGGACCCAGCATCAGAGGCCCATCCATGTGGCACGATTACGACACTCGGTGTGAAGATCTCAGCTCAGCAGAGCCAAATAGGCAGTTAGGTCATTTCAAGTGCACTTGGCAAAAAAACGCAAAACCCAAACTTTTGACCCAAAAAAACAAAACTTGTCCGCGGGACACCGACTTGCTTCCTTCGGTGTCTCCGCCACCAGTGCACTTTCCTCTTCTTTTTTGGTCCATTTCTCTCCGCCCAAATTCCTAACATCTCCCATCGCAAAACGCCGTCGTTTCTACAATGGCGGCGATTTCGAATCTTGCCGGTTGTAGTCACGGCGGCAGCTCAGTCAATTTTGGAGAGAGGAGGTTAACGTTTCGACCGACTCCCGCATTGAAGACTCGGATTTCTTGGCCCTCCAAGGTACTTTCCACATTCATATGACTTGAGTTTCAGTACATTTATATGTATATATATTATGATTGTATATTTCATCTCAATTATGGAAATATATGTACAGAAGTATTATTAGACTGCCCACTTGAAAAATGCTACTTTTCCAGACTGAATTTGAACAATTGATTGAGCGAATGGTTGTTTCCCAAGTTTCAAGTGTTGCAATTATTTTATTTAAATTGTTTGTGTTTTTTAAGCGGAAAAATTGGATCACATTAAAAACAATTTCAAGCAATGAAGGATTTTTTTTTTACTTTGAGCTAGTTTTGGTCTGGACTTTCTAGTAATCTTAAGACTTGTCTATGTATAAGATCGAAATCTGGTTTAATGGTCGCTTTTTAAAATTTTTTTTAAAAAAAACTCCTTTACCCTCTTCTTGTTGTAGAATCCGTTAGCTGTTGGTCACTTGGGCAAGGGATATAAGAATTCTGGTGTTCGTATGGCATTAGTTGATGAGAAGCTGGCTAGAAGAGGAGATTTGCCCAAGCCTTCTGACATCCTGGTATCTAGAACTGCTTGTTTCACACAATGAATTCAAATAAGTTGTAAATATTGGTCCTTTTTCGAATGTAGGTTATGTTAGTCTGAACTTTCAGATTACTTCAGAGAACTTTTACCTAATTAACAGTATATTTAATTTTTTGAGCAGGCATTTGATCTTGTTCAAGGAGCACTTGTAAGTCTTTGTATTCTGTAATCTCCTCATAATATGATATGTAGTGAGTTTTTGATTGAGAACTTGATGCCACTGTTGTTTGAGATTATAAAAATTGGAGTTCAACATTTTGAGGAATAGTTATCAGTGAAGAATTGCATTTTCAGAAAAGATTGGATGCTAATAAAAAAGGTAAGTTTTTTAAAATAAAAAAATAAAAAAATCAAACATGAGCCATGAAAGATTGGCCAGTAAGCACAGGAGTAATTGCTGGGGTCTGAACCTCAGCTCCTTTGGAAAGTTTCTTATCTGATTAAATTTATCTTTCTGTTTCACAGCAATGCGCAATCTAGTTTGCAGAGGAAATGACATCCCCTCATTCTTCTTGGCAATTTAAATTTTAAAATTACACATCACAGTAATCTATTATATCATGCTGCACCCTTAAGTTTTCAAATTGATTTAAACTTACCTAGTAACCAATAAGAGTCTACCTATTTCAATTTTAAAAAACAACTAAAAGTTAAGGAGCAATCTCATATGCACTAGGGCTTGTCAGGGAATTTAAGAAGTCATGAGGAGGACATGGGAAGTAGCTTATGTTTCTCAGTATTACTTCAGTGGGCAATGGGCATAATCACATATCTGAATAGTTCCAGTGTGCAGGTAAAATGGAGTTCGGTTACGGACAGGTCATTACCTGAGCCTCCAACAGCTGTTTTTCTGCATGGTATTCTAGGGTGTAGGAAGAACTGGGGTACGTAGGTTCTTTTCACTTGCTAATATGTCATTTTACCTCCACACTTCTTCAAAATTGGAAGAGAATGATGGGAGGAACATTTTTGGATTCATCTTGGTTACTGGTCAATGCCTTGAAATTGTGAATCTTGTGCATTTTTCTACTCCTTGAAATTGTGTGTCTTGGATTCATTTTGGATTCATCTTTGCTTTCTTCTATTGTTCTCCAGTTAAAGCTCCCCTTTTTGTACCCTTCCATAGCCTGTTGGCATTTTCTCGTATGTTTCTTTTCCATGCCAGATCTCTATGTTATTAGCAACAAGGGGGTGATAGTGGTATTTTCTATTTGTTTCCTACACATAAATAGCTTGGGATTCATTACGTAACTTCTGATATTGCAGGAACCTTTACGAGGAGATTGGCACAAGAATTTCCAACATGGCAGGTATCATCCTTTTGCGTTTGTACTTTCACTTAGATTGAATGGAACATGTTTTATTTGATAAAGGTCATAAAATTTAATTTTCTTACAAAAGTTCCATTCACAACATTCTGGGATGTTTCCTGTGCAGTATTTTGACCAATTGATTAACCTAAGTAATGTTAATGATTAAACCATTATGCATTTAATTTTACGGGTATTATTAGTGACCCCCTAAATCCATTGTGATTCTCTAACGACCCAAAAAAAAAGAAGCACCTGGCTTATTTTTCAAATATTCCAACCCTTGGCTTTTATTTAAATTGTTTTCTGGTCCCTGTGATAGTTACAGTCCACCTAAAATCTGAGAGCCAAACCCTTAATCAGAAGCTGTAAAATGGCAATTCTACAGCTCAAAGTATACAATCCTAATGCTAAGCCCTAAACCATTCTAAACCCTACACTATCAAGTCCCCATAACTCCTAATAATCGTTTAAAAAAAATTTATTTAAAAACAATATTGTAATTTCTCTTTTGTTAAAAAAACAAAACGAAAATCCTACTAGTTTTACCAGTGATTCTTTAAGCGTATTTGCTGTTTCATCTATTGTCATGTTCATTATTTCTGTTTGTAAAGCATGTTTTTAGCTATATTGCACATGACATTTTGTTATTTGGACATGGTGAGAATCTTACTTGTTCCCCTTTTTTTTGTTGGCAAAGTTTCTGTTAGTGGACCTGCGGTGTCATGGTGATTCAGCATCAATTAAGAAAAGGGGACCCCATACTGTTTCTTCCACTGCTCTTGATGTCTTAAAACTAGTATGTGTTTCCTGAGTACCTACATTATTTTTGAAGAACAAGTTTGTCCCAATGGTCAACATTAATATATTATTCTATTTTGAAGTTTCATTTATAGTTGTGAATTAACTTGAACCAAAATTTCAAAGCCTTCATTTCTGATTTGTTATGCCTGTATTTCTGTATCATACATACTTGCACACAACTTTATAATTTTAACATGGCTTGCACGAATAGTGTTGTATACACAGCATTTGAACACCTCCAATGTATGTTTGTATATTCCTGTCTGGTACCTTCCCATGCTTGAGACACTATTTATGTCTTCCGTAATTTTGTTTCTTCTTCCTTTCTAGGTTCGACAGCTTAGATTAACGCCTCGGGTTTTAGTTGGCCACAGTTTTGGAGGGAAAGGTAACTTTGGTTAATTTGGCAGGTTGCATACCTTTGCTGAGAGTGCTAGTACAACAGTAAATCTACACCTGCTTAAAATGGATCTGATTTGTAATATGCTTTCTAATTGTCATGCAGTTGCCTTAAGCATGGCAGAGCAAGCTGCAAAGCCTCTTGCACGACCAGTCAGGGTAAGTAATGGCAATATTGAATATATCGCGGAATGTGTGTTAGTGTCTGTGTCTGTGGACATTATCCTTCTTTTCCTCTTACCAGTTGATTTTTTTAGGTTTGGGTTCTAGATGCTACACCTGGAAAAGTTCGTCCTGGTGGGGATGGGGAAGACCATCCAGAAGAATTGATATCTGTCCTAAGCACACTGCCACAAGAGGTGAATCCATAATCAAACGTTGTTTCCTTCTTTCTTAATATTTTTGGTGCCTGTTAGAGTCAGTCCTTTTATTTTGTTTATTTTTGAGAGGATTCTTTTATAATTTATGATCTTTTGTATGCTTTCTCAGCCTTTTTTTCTATTCTTTCCTCTCTCTCCATTTAGAACTCTAACTCTAATTTATATAAGTCAACTTGTTATCAGATCATTGTAAATCGATCTGTTGCTCTTTCTTGGGGTCCTATTGAACTAAAGCTACATATTTTGTTAACATTTTATTGTAGAGAGAGGGGAAGGGAAAGGTGGTGTGCACCTCCCCTAGTTTTCCAAAACCCAAATAGGGTTTCAATCTCACTGTATGTTGCAGAGACAATTGTTAATATGTATCATGCCAAACCTCATTTGTTGAAAAAAACGCTTCTATCCTCATTTCTTTCTTTCTGTGTATGATTTTAATTCTACTAATTTTTCTTCAAAGCAGATTTCCTCAAAGCGGGATGTTGTGGATGTTCTAGTTCGAAAAGGGTTCTCCAAAGATGTGGCACAGGTATGTCGAACTGTGAGACATGCTTTAATGTACTAATTTGAAGTTTGGGCTCTGAAACTTGTATGTATTGATCATTTTGTTTTTTCACCCACAGAGAATTATCGTAATGTGTTGGCTGTTTTGTCATTGCCTCATGTTTCTTTATTGATAGCGCCAATCTAAGTTTCATGTTTAGTAGTTGTGCGTTTTTTAGTGTTCCGCTGTCTTTAGCTCATTATTTTTGCTGACTTTGGGGAAAAAGATGTTGCTGATCCCATTTAATTCCACTATTCTCTGTCTCTGCCTCCCAGTGTTTTAGCTCTATCATTTTTCATGTTTAATACAAGATTGTTCACTTGTGCCTTGCGGTACACTGGATTTACTTATTTTCTTTGTTTTTTCTTTCTTCTTTCATGCTTTTGCTGCCTTGAGGATTTTATACTATGTTCTTATATGTTGTTTCATGTGCAGTGGGTGGTTACTAATCTTCGACCAACTGGTCCTCTTGGTTCATCACCATCAACCTTCTCATGGGTGTTTGATCTCAAGGGAATTTCTGAAATGTATAAATCTTATGAAGAGACAAATTTATGGTAATCACTCCATTTCCTTATTTTCGTGGATTCTTGTCATATGTCATGCAGTAGTCAATACCTAGCTGCTAAATATCTGTTTAATCGTCATAAATACCACCTACTTGTGCAGCAGAGTCTGCACTGGTGATGTTCTGCCATGAGTGTTACACTAGGGTTTTGGTTGAAAAATCAATTATGAATGTACACCAAACTGCATACTTTTAAATCAATATTCAAATATTGAAAGGAAAAAAGGAAATTCTCATTCTGAAATTGAACGTGCTTCATCTTTTTCCCAATATTTTGAATGTCAAGTTTGCAACTGGCCCTTATTTGATTTGGATCATTGTAGGAAAATTGTTGAAGATGTGCCTCGAGGTGTCCATGTGAACTTTTTGAAAGCAGAAAGGAGCTTGCACAGATGGGCTCTAGAAGATCTCCAGAGGATTCATGCTGCTGAGGAGCTTGCTGCTGAAGAGGCAGCTGGAGTTGAAATGCATGTCCTTGAGGATGCAGGCCACTGGGTATGTTGGTTTTACTGTTTGAAGTCAATCTACTAGGGAACGAAATTTGTAACACGTGTCTCTGTATGCCGTGCATGCATATAGGAGATATTGATCACAAGATAGATTAGAATCTTTAGGGGTCCCAAAGAGTCAGTATTGGATGCCAATCCATTTTTGGGGTTTCTTATGGGATATTTGGGTTTATTAGGCTGGTGTTTGTACGGGTATGGGGTTTAGGATTTTAGAATTTAGGGTTTGTACAGGGCTACATTGGTGCTACTGTCATCCAGGAGTGACGACAGTGACAATTAGATTGGCGCAATGCCACTGAGTTACATAGGGACAGCTAAGTTGGTCAAACGGGCACTAGGTTTTAATTAGCAGAATTGGCAGGGAGCTTTTATTACAAAAAGTACAGCTGAATGCTTGTGGAAATAAAAATATGCATGAGGGAGCCATAATTAAATGCCTCGAACAAAAAAGATATAATTTCTATTCGAAACTTGAACAAAATTAGTCACTCTCTTAATCAATTGAATGTCAAATTGTTCCAGTTCATTAAAGAACTGAGAGACTCTGCTTGAGGGATAATATTAATTACACATTATTTGTAGCACATTCGCACAGCTGCTCATGTTCATTCTTCCATTTTCAGGTCCATGCAGATAATCCAGATGGGCTCTTTAAGATTCTTTCCTCTTCTTTCCAGTGAATCAAAACTTGAGGCAGCTTTAGCATGGTCTTACTTGATCAGTTCAGACATAGCAGCATTCTACTGACGGATCACTACACATCGTTTCCATATTTAGTCGTTCAAAGAAAACTGTGTCTCCATTAAATGATTGTATACATCTGTTTGTTTCACATTGATTCTTGTATATCATCGCTCTGCTTTCCTTTTTCTTCCTACCTGGTCCTCCGTCCCCTGTTGTCGCCGTTCACAATCAGTAGTGGGAGGAGGGTTTATGTAATTTCAACTTCTTTGGATTGGCTAAATGTAAGTATGTATTTAAAACAGGTAACTCTTGAGTATAAATCATTACAGAAGACTAGTATTTTTATTTTTATTTATCTTACAAACTTCTGTTTCTATACCAAAACAAGTTTGCACGTTCTGGAATTATTGTCAAGACTTCTAATGACCGTGTGCCGTACCATATTTCTGAGGCCAAATTACATTTTTGGTCTGTCATTTCGGTTACGGTCATTTTAATTTTGGTAATTCTAGTAATGTAGTTTTGTTTAGGGAACAAATCAGATATGCATGCACACCGCACGCTTTAGCTTATATATTTTATTCCTTTCAATTTGGTTCAAATTTTCAATATAAGCTGGCACTGCATATCTGTTTAAGCTTTTAACTAGAAAGACTACAATAAGAACTGATGTTTAATGATGAAAAACACGTGTTTGTTGTATTTAATAGGTCAAGTTTTCAACAGTATTAATAATTAAACACAAATTCCCAATGCTAATCCACAAAAAGCATTGTTGAATCAATAGTAAATACCACTTTGGTTGACCAATTGGTTGACCTGAACTTAGCATATGCAGCATTTAGTCATTGACCAATTGGTTGACCTGAACACAGCATACTTGCTTTCCCATCAACTTCCCATAATGCGATTATATATAATCGAAAGTCTTACGTAATTCAAATACCTGCCCTAATTTCAAACAGTTTGCAATTCTCATTAAGTAGGCGATAGCTTAAAACAATTGGTAAGGATTAATATTGTCATGTGCACAATCTCTACACTTTTTTTTAATTTTTAAAAAAAAAGTGTCTAAAACACTATTAAAGAAAGATCAATCGACATGAGTATCAATCAGTGTTCACAAATAAAGTTTACATTGACACTTTCCGAGTTCGTAGTAGGAAGGCAAAATGGGTCAAGGGATTACAATGGCCAAACCCTAATGAGAAAGGAGAAATATTGAAACAAGGAAGCAAACAAGTTCAACGTTTGTGTTTCACAAAATTAAACAAGATTGCGCATTTTTGGGTAAGTTTTCCACACCACACCAATATGTACACACTACATACGTTGTTTTTGCCAACCAACTAAACTCTATGCATCCCCAAATGCCAAATTCAACTCTTGTTCCATGGGTCCCTAGTCAAAACTGTGCTTCTTCTTCTTCTTCCTAAGTGCCAACTATTTCAATTAATGCAAGATTCAAATTCCTACAAGTGGCATTGATGGACTTTTTACCAACAGCCAGAAAACGTTGACACAACCGACTCTGAAAAGGTGTTTTTTGTCTACCTGTATAAATTATTGAGATCGACTTGTTCAAGGGGAGTTCTTAAAATCAAGGCGTCCACATGTTCGACCAGATAATGTAGGCATTTAATGTGACAAGGGAGGCATAGAATTGATCAAACAAAATATATAAGAATTTAATTATGTTCATTCAACATTTTCTTCTTCTCCGGCCAAAAAATAAAACATTTTTCAACTCCTTTAACTACCTAATAAATGTTATGGGATTCACAAGAGTTAAAGAAGTTGAAAATAAAAAGTTGTCAATGAAATTGTTTTACCCTTAGAAAATTGTCTCACTTAACTTCCTGAATCTCTAAAGATTCATGAAAATTTCTCACTTTACCACTTTTGTCCATTTCTGTCCACTAAACCGTTAAGTTTGCCTCTCTCTCCCTCTTACCCTCACTCTTTCTCTCCCCAGCCCAACCTAACCCTCCCTCGAATTACATAACCCCGACCCTAACTTAAAAAAAAATTTATTTTATGTGGTTTTGTGAACTTATTTGTTTACTTACTTATTTATTTATAAATGACATGACCGGTGTGTGTAGAGCACCATATGAGTATGAGGATATTACGACTGGCATATGCTGTTATGCAAGGATGATGCACAACATGATGTTATGAAGTGGTCACCTCATATAACAGTAAAGTATAGTTAGGATTTTTCTTCTTTAATGTCAAATTTTGAAAGGATTTAAATTCAAAATTCTGTTATGCTTGCGTGAAAAAGAGTCAATTCTTATTTATTCATTTATACAAACGATATTTTATTTTAATTTAATCTAAATTACTACTTGAGTAAAGAGTGAATCATCTCTTCACAAACAAAAATTTTCCTTTGACTAAAAAGTTGAGGCATGCCAAGACCCGACTTTACTTTTATATTAATGGCACGTCATTTTCCTCTACGACTGTCACTTTTTCAAGTTTTTAAAAAGAAAAAACAAAGATAAATGATAAAATAATGGATGCTTTCGCAGTTTTCCTCATCGTTTAGAAGTCATATAGGATTGATGAGACATGCTCTGAGTCTCTGAGATACACACGTGTTAAGCTTTGCGAAGCAAATCCGCAGAGGAGCCCTAATCTCAGCGTAGCATGCATTGATTGACCAATTGGTTGACCCGAACTTTGCATATATACTAAGCCTTTCTTGGTTTCTTATCAATTCTCATAGTGGGAAAGTCTTACGTAATTCAAATACCTGCCCTAATTTACAAACACTTCATATTTATTCCTTGCAATTCTCATTAAGCGGGCAATAGCTTAAAACAATTAGTTTAAGGATAAATATTGTCACCTGCACAATACTTAATTTTTTATTTATTTCTAAGACACTACTTGAAAAAGGTCAATATAGACACCGGTATTTATGTCCGCAATATACTATAAGACACTCCTTTAATATAGTGTGCATGGAAAGTCCAATTCAAACTCTATTTGTGGGGCACAAATAGCCAAAGTAAACATCACATTTGAAACATCGTTTTTGAAATAGTAATCCCAACAAGACTCGTCCAAAAGTATACTACTACTAGTGGCAAGGAAAAATGGGTCACGAGATTACAATGACCAAACCTAACGAGAAAGGAGGAGAAATACTAAAACAAGAAATCAAACAAAATTTAAAGTTGAACGTTGTGTTTCACAAAACTAAAACGAGATTCTACTTTTTTTTGGGTGACGTCCATTTTTCCACACCAACGTACACTACATAAACTGGTTTAGCCAACCAACTAAACTCTTAGACATCCCGAAAAGCCAAATTCAACTCCCCTTCCATGGGTCCTTAGTCAGAAGTCCAAAACTGTATTTGTCTTCTTCTTTCTAATAAGTGGCCAGTATTTCAATCAATTCAGGCATTTAATGTGACAAGGGAGCCATAGAATTGATCAAACAAAATCTATAATTATGCTAATTCAACATTTTTCTTCTTCGCCGGCCAAAAAATAAAACATTTTTCTTCTCGCAAAAATGACCTACAAATGTCATGGGATTCACGAGAGTTGAAGGAGTTGAAAATAAGAATAAATAAAATCTACAACACCACATAAATGATACATTGGTCTTGGTGGTGTTGTAAACTTATTTGTTTACTTATTTTTATTTATTTATTTATAAATAACATGACAGGTGTGTGTAGAGCACCATATGAGTCTGAGGATATTACCAATGGCATATGATATTATGCAAGGATATGATGCACAACATGATGTGAAGTGGTCATCTCATATAACATTAAAGTTTTGTTTGGACCTTTTTTGCTTTGAATTTGAAGTCAAAATTGTGAAAGGAATTGAGAATAAATATGTTAACGTTTCATCTGAAAAATCAATGTCTAGAGTATCCCATCTAAAGAAGTCAATTTGAAAGGAGAGGGAACTCTTAAACACAATATCTAGCTACCATAAGTTAATACATTAAGTTTTACAACAAAAACTTCATTGCTATGGCAATAAATAATTGTTATAGAGTTTTTAACAATAATAATACCTAAACTTATACTCAGGTTTCATTTTGTTCATCTAACTCGTTTTTTAGTTTCGGTCATCTTCTAACTCTAGAATGTGTGCGAATTTTATCATTCCATCAAATTCCATTCATTATTTCATGTATTTGAGGGGGTAAAACTATGAAAAATGTGTTATAATTTTCCCTAATCATGTATTTAAAGGGGGTAAAACCATGAAATAAATTAACGGAATATGTGTTTCATGAATTTTATCATTCCGTCAAATTCCATTAATTATTTCCCGTCTTATAATTTTATCATTCCATCAACTTGTTTTTTTATATATGGAAAAAAAAATGATGGAATTTTATGGAATAACGAAACTGGAACGTGTGCGAAAGTTGGAAGACGGTAAAAATAAATAAATATTTTGAATGATCAAAATGAAACTCAAATATAAAATAAGAGAATATTGTGCTTAAAAACCCGAATTATTAAAATTAATAAAATAAAATAAAAAGGTACGTACATGATTGAATTTGTGTGGTAATTGGTCTTTGCTGTGCTGTGTCTGCCGCCTTCTCGATGACCCGTTCTTCGGGCACAGCTGTTTTCCTGTCTTCGGGTCCGTTTAATCTAAAACACCGACGTGGTAATCGGTTGATGACGTCATGGCTTAGAAAATAAAAAAAAAAAAAAAACAAACAAACAAACCTAGCTTACGCGCCCAACTGTCAACCTCCACATCAAACTCTCCAATTCTAAGGTGTTTTGTTTTCCATGACGTGGGTTTTTCTCTGCCTTTCAAATTTCTCAAACCCACTTGATGTTTTCTGACGTGGCTTTCCACTCTCAAATTCAAACTTGGGCCTATTGTATTGCCTCTTTGATGGGATTTCAAATTCCGTAAACACGTGTTTCTCTGTAGGCAACAAGATAGAGACTTGAGAAGAAGCCTTGATGTTAAGTGTGTGAAAAAAAACGTGCATAAAATACGTATACAATATGAAATAATTAGGCTATTATATAAAAATTTAAAATAATTTATTCAATTTTGTTTTTATATATATATTTTTCAAATAGAATGTGCAAAATGCAGATAAAATACACAAATAATATGTATATTATTGCAAAATATTCGAAAAACAGGTATTATTCGTAAACAACAGTTATGTATGTACAGGAATAATACATTTTTGTTATAATTTTCTTTTTTGTATGTATTAAATGCCATGTTTACCTTTCACTCAACTTGCTTAAGATATTTTTTTTTCTCCCCACTTGGATTGGAAACCACACCGTCCAATATCATTTTGGATGGTGAAACTCCCTCTTACTTTGACCATTGAAAATTTTGACCTTCACCTGTACGTCTGACTTTGTCCCTGTTCAACCTATTTAAATACTTCTTCCCACTTCTTTTTTCTTCATCCACAAAAACAGTCGCCACCACGTTTTCAAAATCGTTTTTACAAACAGGACAAGCTTAAGATCATCATGAGTTACAGCTCAGAAGAAAGCAGCAGCAGCCCGGGCACTGGACAACGGAAGTTCAAGGGGGTGCGGCAAAGAAAATGGGGCAAGTGGGTGTCTGAAATTCGCGTCCCGGGGACGCAGGACCGGCTCTGGTTAGGCTCTTTCTCGTCCCCGGAGGCGGCCGCGGTGGCTCGGGACGTTGCGTATTATTGCCTACGTAGGCCGTCGACCTTGGAAGGGCTTAACTTTCCCTTGGTGTTGCCGTCTTCAGTTCATGCTGATATGTCGCCGAGGTCTATACAGAAGGCAGCTTCGGATGCTGGCATGGCAGTTGATGCTCAGTTGGTGGCTAACAGGTCACCGCAGGCAGGTGGCTGGCAGAGCTACAATGGAAGTCATGGGGTTGAGAGTGAGGTTTGGGAAGACATGGGAGAGAGTTCTAGGAACAACTGGGGAGGGCATATGGGATCTGGCAATGGGTGCGAGGATTTGAGCATCTCCATTGAAGATTATGATCTCTAAGTTTGGTTTTGGGTTTTGTCATATGTATTAGAAATTAATTTAGCATGAACCTCTTAGGTTTTAGGTTCGATTTTCTCGTCTCTAATATCGCTTGTATAAAAAAAATTATATAATGAAACTTTACACGTACACTGTGTATACAGTAGATTTGGTAGAATAAATGTATAGCAGTATATCCCACTCAGTATAGTCCGTATATATAAAGTCTATGCACAGGGAATGGAGTGATGATGATTTCACGGAAAGCTAGTTTTGAAATTAACACAAGGCTTTGACCAAAAAAAGAAGTTTTTACCAATAGCATGAGCAAAGGCACGTGCCTTTATTATCATTTGGAACAACTTTAACACTTCAGCTAGATATTTGATGGATATACTTTGTTTTTTTTTCGTCGGAATATATCTCATGGTAAATTTAAGAGTCAGGTTTTAATTATGCAGATTGAATATATGTGATTAGAATTATATATATACATAGTATTTTTTCATTTAGATCTCTGCACGTTATTGCTATGTAGATGTCATTATATATAAATAATAAATAAAGAGAAATAATAAAAAATACACGGCATTTGAATAGCCACATAGAAGACATATATAACCAGAATTAATTATCAGTTAGTACAAACGACAATTAGGATGGAATATGGTGAACCTTTTAAATATCAAAGTCAAGAAACAAAGCCTGAACCTTAATAAGATAGACTACCTGATTATGAGGCTTTGACCTCGTCAATCAATCTCTTTAACCAAATTAAATAAGAGAGCTATTATTCATTAAGTAATCAATTGATAATATGAGGTGGATTTTCACTTCGATCAGCAACCAAAGGCCCATCCGTGTGGCAACCATATGCGTACCCAGCCTAGAGGCATTCATGAAAACAATAAAATCTAGCCTTATTATGGAAGACTTTCATCAATCTCAAGTATATATTGAAGGAAGTTGAGGTTCCATTCAAAAGAATCAATTGATAATATGAGAGTAGTCTAACTCCTTATAAGACGTGTGACTATTGGATTTTCACATGTGGGCAAACCCAATCTGATACCATGAAGAAAGTTGAGGTTCCATTCCAAAACCAATTGGCAATAGGTGGAGTAGCTTAACTCCTATAAGCCCATGTAAGGTTTTCTAACTTTCCAATGTAGGACATTTTTACATTCACATTCTCACATGTATACTAATATATGTAATCATAAGAATGAAATCTTTTTATACCATAACTGACTGAGCAACCTTGGATAAGAAAGATCAGCTCATGGGTACAATTTATGAAGATACCATGCCCGCTGGCATTGGCATTTCATATATGTCGAACGACATTCGATTGGTGATGATCGAATGCTGAAGACACTGTGCCAACTAAGGGAGGAACTATGAATTTTTTAATGGGTGGGTTAGTAAAAGTTATTAGCTTAAAATCTAATGACCAATTTTTTTGGGGTACTTACTGGTTCTATAGTTTTTCTGAAAATAAAAGTATACATTGTGATAAAATAGTAAAAGGTAGAGAGTTCAAATCATGAGTGTTTATTAAGATATTTTGTTTCTTCATTGAGCAAACAAATTAAATATAAAATGATTATAGGCCTACAAAATTGAGTGGAGACAATAGGTTACAAGGCTATATTTGGGTGGGCTATTAAGCTTTCATGGGATGAATAACATTAAATACACGAATGGCATGTAACAACCCGTCTCGAATTTTAACGTACTTGGACAATTTTGCCCTTATGGTTTTTAGGGCTCCATTTTATTGATTGCTACAAAACGCACATGCCCAGGACTAAAAAAGATTCCATCATAGAGGGTCTAATTACCGTACATAGGTTGAGCATCTTTTGATTGTCTTAGGCTCATTATCTTCAATCTCTAAAGATTCACACAACTTTCTTCTCTTCCAAGATTCGTTGTATTTGCTTTGCTCTGTTTTCAGTTAGAATCACTTGATGGCTACTTTGAAATTCCTAATTTCACTTTAGTTCTCCCTTTTTTTTTCAATTGAATTCGCAATAGCTAATGTCTCTGATTACCACTAGGTGTTAGTTGGATTGGTTTGGGCTTTTGGTATGCTCCCAAGTGGATCCTAAGTTCAAGTCCCCATTGTACCCGTGCGTGTGAGTTCCCCCCTCCTCCCCCACTCTAACTTTGGCCAAAATAAAATAAAAAAAGGCCTATGAATAAAGGTGGTTTTCACTTTGCTAAGTGACCTTATCAGATTGGCGGGAAAATGCCCACCTGAAATGAAAGGACTAAAGTACTCATACACGTCATTAGTTCTAACGAAATTTAAAATGGAGTTGACGACATGAGGTAAAGTAAACCAAGTACAATATGAGTCACTTTGAGTTTGAGGGAAGAAGATGAGATATGACTATTGCCATCCACATAAGCAAGAAGCATCTTTTGCGGCAGAAAGAGTTAGACATTGATTGAAATTTTTGGAGCTTTATAGTGTTTTTTTTGGGTGTCATTTTGGAGCTTTATAGTTTGATCAGCAATAATATGACTTTATTTTATCTTCTTTTTCCTTTTTTTTAAAAATGTATTTTTTTATGAAAATGAAGTCTACTCCAAAAAGAAAAACAAAACTGTTTGACTTTTAAGAAAAAAAATGAGTGTTAGATTAATTTGAATGAAGGATGTCTACGCTGACATGCTATATCTGTATCAGTCAATAATTACTCTAATTTAAGAGGTGTGAGAGAATTGATTGACGGTAACATTTAGGATCAAAATAAAATTCCGATACAAGTTGAAGGACTATTTCGATAAAGAAAACCCTTTTACAAAAGTTTTCTATATCCAACATCTCCAACTGACCAAATTAAATAGTCATAAGAAATTGAAAACTAAAGTAAACAGGTGTCATCAGCATGGAGGTACATTTCATAAAACAGCAATTGTAGGGGTACAGCAATTCATGCAGGAAAATCCAAAACTTCTTCCATCCGTCACCCCAAGAGCTTGCCACCAACACGTGTGCTCACACCTCTCATTCCATGTAATCGATTGTGGTGTTCATCATCATCATCATCTGCCACTGCGGCACTGCTCTCTCTCTTGATCTTATCTCTTCCTTCATATTATTAGTTTGGATCATCATCAGCAGTTACAAAAGCAAAGCCCTTCTCTTGTGTTCATTTGTTGTAGTTAATAGGTAAGAGCCGTTTGGGTTTAGGGTTTTGAGGCTGTTTTTGGGAACCAACCAAACAATGGATTTGTTGAACTCGGTGCTAAATTGGGTTGTGCCACCGGCAAGTTTAGTGATGATGGCGTTTGCTTGGCCAGCATTGACCTTCATCTCTGGTTGTGAGTGGCTTTACAATACGTTCAACAGTGAACCTATGGAAGATAAAGTGGTTATAATTACAGGAGCTTCTTCTGGCATTGGGGAGGTAAGTCTCTCTCTCTCTGCCCTCCAACTTTCCTAATTTTGTGTTTTTTTTTTCATTAATCTGGATAATTTTCTAACATTTTTCAACCTGTTATTTATTTGTATATTTAATTTCCTAATTTTATTGCTTGTGAGTGGGATCATTGTATATTACTATTTTTCAAGCCAGCCCAACCTAATTTTTTAGCCCAAAGTTAAATGGGCCACTAAGCTGCCTCGAAAAAGTTGGCCAAGCTTGGCTCCATTTCATTTAGAAACAAACTTGAATTGTTTAGATTAAAGCTATAATTAGTTACGCCAACGGGTGTAGCTGAGTGGAAAAGGGCTTGAATTGCAGATCAGTAGTCTCAAGTTGATATAACCCATCATTTAGCCAATTTAGTTGTCCTAGGTTTTTTTTATAGTAGCTCAAGTGGTAAAAAACAGTTACACTCACACACATGAGGTTCTACGTTCGATTTCCTCTCCCCTCCCCCAATATTACTTGTTTTGTTTTAAGAATTATATGCACTAGATCACAGATTTTGGTAGTTTGATAATAGTGGTCATAACTTCTAAGTGCATGATGCCTATGATTGCAGCAAATTGCATATGAATATGCAAAGAGGAGGGCAAAGCTTGTATTAGTAGCAAGAAGAGAGAACAGACTGCGACTGATCAGTGAGAATGCAAGGTATATGGGTGCAAAGCATGTCATGATTGTAGCTGCAGATGTTGTCAAGGAAGAGGAATGTAGGCGATTCGTCAATGAAACCATAAACTTCTATGGGCGAGGTACTCAAATTTTTTGGGCATAAGTTTGGTAATTGAAAATGCCATATTTCTTACAACCAAAAGTTTTATTCTTGCAATCACAGTAACAAATTATTATAGATCTTCTTGAGTGATATGTACAGTATACAGTGTCAATGCCATAGTATGGTAACAATGATGAATTGAAAACACAAAGGTGGTATAGATTCATAAGCATGAAAACTAATGACAGCATCGTTTCGATAACATTACACGACATTTCAGCACATTTATCTCATTAGCTCACCCACAAACTTCTTATCACACCCAGAACAGCTCAGTAGTATATTCCCTCAAAGAGAATGAAGTTAACGGCTGAGATCAATACACATTAGCCATCTGCTGTTTCTGTAACAGAATTGAATATTTGAGTTTTCTAGAATAGTCTCTCAATTGTACATGATACCATCTACACAAAATTCAATGAGAAAGCCTTTCCACCCTCTCTCTTTTTCTGTCTATTTCTCTCTGTATTACTTTTCTGCATAAAATTTAAGCTGTAATTTAGTACAGTACGTTTGTGTATCACATGGACCTACAACTATGAAAGTTACTGTCACGCAATGAGCAATTAAGATAGAATTCCACTGAGATAGAATCAGTTATGGAGCCTTATGGGATACCTGTAATTCACACTTAATTAATTTTTTGGTGCACTAGGGATTGTATATCACATTTGTATATCCAAAGACAGCAACTGTATAGATATACTTCTGGCTATCCATCGTCTATTGGTAAATCTTGTGTTAAGCACAAGGTAAACGCAGTTGTTTCAATAGCAGTTGTGGTTTTCTAGCAGCCATGGCTGCTGCAACTGCTGTACTATATAATACAGAAGCTGATCATCACTAGCAAGATAAACTACTCTACTGAGCATGATTAATTCAAGGATCAATTGTCTCGGTTAAGTTAGATAGGAATACGATTGGATTGAATTGTTGGAAACTGCAAATATAATATTGCATAGTTCAGCTTGTGAAACAAATGCACTCACAGTCTTCTTGGCAGTCAATTTTGTCTCTTTCAATCTTTATGATCGAGTTATAAATTTCCCAGAAAGGTCTAGTGCATTCATGCATGTCTGTTATGAAAAGTAAATGTCAATCCAGCGTTTAAAAAAAAAAAAAAAAAAAAAAAAAAAAAAAAAAAAAAAAAAAAATTCAATTCTGTTTCAACCCTTTAAATTTGTGTCCAATTTTGCAGTGGATCATCTTGTAAACACCGTAAGTTTAGGACATACATTCTACTTCGAGGAAGTTACAGACACCACTGTCTTTCCCCATTTGTTGGTAAGGATTGCAAAACTGAATGCACAGAACTCCACAAATTTGTGCTAAAATTTTAATACAAATTGTTTAGTTTATTGCGGTTTTGAATGTCTTTATTTCTCTCAGGATATAAACTTCTGGGGGAATGTTTATCCAACATATGTTGCTCTTCCTCACCTACGTCAAACCAATGGAAAGATCATTGTTAATGCATCAGTTGAGAGCTGGTTACCTCTGCCGAGAATGAGTTTGTATGCAGTGAGTATGCATTAATAAATCAGGCATTGCATGTTATTGTGGGAAAGTGGAATAAGTTATTTTCCACATATTACTAGAGATATGATTATTGAGTCACAAATATCAAACATCGTATTCACTGTCAAATTAGAATAAATAAAAAGGTGCATGTGATACGTACTTTAGTAACCCATCAAATGCTCTCTGTGAAACTAATTTAGTGTCCTTTTGTTGTGCTTTGAATGATCACTAGGCAGCAAAGGCAGCTCTGGTAAACTTTTATGAGACACTCAGATTAGAAGTAGACCATGAGGTAGGGATAACAATTGCAACTCATGGATGGATAGGGAGTGAACTGACAAGAGGCAAGTTCATGGTAGAGGAGGGTGCCGAAATGCAATGGAAAGAAGAAAGGGAGGTAAGCTGTTGTTTATGGCTTTGATATTTCATTATGTTGGCCCAAAGAAGTACACACCATTAAATTGGACTAGCTAGTTTTAATTCCAGGAGCAGACCTGCTAATTAAAGAAACAGTACTTTTACTATGGTATCATGTATGATGACAGATATATATGTATTGTCATAGGTACATGTGACCGGTGGGCCTGTGGACGATTTTGCAAGATTGATTGTAGCTGGGGCTTGTCGAGGAGATGCGTATGTTAAGTATCCGAGCTGGTATGACATCTTCCTGCTTTACCGGGTGTTTGCACCGAAGGTTCTCAATTGGACGTTCCGCCTGATTCTTCCAACACATGGCGGAAGGAGGACTTCCCTTGTTGGCACTGGGAGGCCTATTTCAGAAGGGTATGGAAGGCCTTTGTTCGAAGGCTCGCCTCCGAGGAAACTTCCCAGCACATTCGCCCCCCAGAGTCCCCAGCAGCTTAAAATGGAATGAACTTCATAACATTTCAGGGAAAATAGCCATGTTGTTAGCCTCTCTCTGGATATTCAGTTTGTTCAACTTGTGTTCTTTAGCCGTCACGGAGATTTTAGAGAGTAGGAACAAAGTTATTGAATTCAGTAGTTCATGTAATAAACTCTTTCGATCAGCTTAATAAATTCCATAAAGAGCATATCTGATCTTAAGATTGATATGAATAGAGTGTTTTCAACATTTTCGCTTCGTTTTTCAATAATTCTCCTGCTCAGGTGAAGGATGTGACAGAGTAGTCGTTTGTTTTTCTGTTTTCTCATTTCTGATAGTAGACGAGAGTGTTATACATGTTTGCTTAATTGTTCTGTTGTATCAGAAGTATGTTTGCTTAAAAAGAATTCCTTTGTAATGCTTTTCATATTTTCTTTTATTACAACTTAAAATACATAAACAAGGAATATATACATATATATACATTTACTGAGGGTATAGCCGAGCGGCTCTAGTATCACTCTTTGAATATATTAAAATATTTTAAGGGAATGGCCGTGCGGCTATACGCTTTAAATATTCGATTTTATTAAAAGCGTATAGCCGCGCGGCTATAGTCTTTGTATATATTAAAATATTTTAACCGTATAGCCGCGCTAAATTCGAATATTTAAACTATATAGCCGCGCGGCTATACTCTTTATATATTAAAATATTAAACAAGTATCGCCGGCTATACGATTTTAATAAATTTGAATATTAAATAGTATAGCCGCGCGGCAATACGCTTAAAATAAATTCGTATATTTAAAGAGTATAGCCGCCCAGCTATACTATTTAAAATTCAAAAGTGTATCATTTAAAAAATATATATATAAAATTAGTTTCTTTAAGTCAATAAATAGTTTTTTTATTTTCTTTTTTGTAATTAAATAATATCTTAGCCTGATTTAATTATTTTCATTAGTAATTATGTTTTAATTATTATTATTATTATTTATTGAGTAATTAATATTAATTAATTTAATTAACTGCATAAATTATATTACTTAATAAATAGTAATTAACTATTTAATATTTTTTTTACTTTAATTTTCGTTGGGATAAAATTTTCTTAGGAATAGCTAATTGCTTAATATCACTAGCCTATTTTGCATTGTTTTAAGTTTATTATTTCTCCTTCATGGGGCTTTTTTCTTTTTCAGTTTGCTTAGTTTTCGTTTGGTAATTGCTTTTTTGGGTGGACTTATTTGAATGCCTTTAATTCTTATAACTATTAACAGGTTGGCGATCCAAGTATGGGTTATCTTCTGGAACTTTTGTTGACAAAACTTCGTTACGCAGCTGGTGAAGGCAATTCTGAATCAAGTAGTGGAGAAAGTTCAGGTATGAGCAGTTGTAACGCTGACCTTGTTCATGGTCTGCAAATTGTTGGGATGAGTGCAACTATGCCAAATGCGACAGCAGTTGCTAATTGGCTTCAGGTGATAAAACACTAACTACGATCCTTCTTGAACAAATGTTTGACTGTAAGCAGTTTATCATTAACACCTGCAGGTCCCTTAGTGTTGCCTATCTGCGGGTGTTTGGCAATTGATTTAAAAAATATAGATACAAAATTCTTTACTTGGATTGTGGAACTTTATATATGGGATCTTGAATTCCACTCTTAATGTAGTTGTTCTGTATATGATGAGTAACATATCTCATAATAAGTTCGGTCTTTCAAGGGAAATTTATGAAATAGTTTTGTTTTGGTAGAAGAAATTTCTAGACACCAATGAATCAATTAGGTAATCAACTAACTTGATTTGGATTTAACCTTTACAGTGATTGAAAAGTCCCACCATGTTTTTAAATTTTTGGTATTTTTGATTCTTATGGGCAACTTGATATTGGTAGAATTGTTTAACCTGCATCAATTAATGTACATCTCTTGTTCTCTCTTACACGTTCCCCTTCTTTTATTCTCCCTAGTGTAGAGAATCACTTTCTTTTCCTTCTCTTCCATTTTTTTAATCACATTTTCTTGTTTGATCAACTGAGGCTCTCTAGAAACCATATAGTTTACTAAATGACAAACGACAAACTTCCTTCACAATTGATTTCTCTCTCCGCAAATCTTTCATAACACAACAATATCAATATGGGGATTATTTTCACAGAACAACAATACCAATATGAGGCTAAACTTCTTGTTGAATCAAAGGGCAAAAAGTATTGGACGTGTGAGGCACTAAAGTTAAACTAGAACGGGGTACTAAAACTTTCTGATTTCCCACCTTCATGGATTAACGGGGGAGGATTCACAGCTGGACCCCCTCTTTGCTTGGCGACCACGCCACGTCGCTTGAATGGAAGTTGCTGCCAATAACTCCTCTTGAGAGTTTCGCATCTCCTTGTTGAAATGCCACCAAAACTTAGAGACAACAGTCTTCAAGTCGTTGGCCATGAGAGCAAATGCTTCAACTTTTGTGTGAGACTTGACAATTCTGGTCGAGATGGGTAAGTCGGAAAAGGAGTTAAACTTTGATGCCCAATCTAAAAGTTCTTCTCCATAGAAATCATTTTTCCCAAGAAGACGAGTGCTTGAGGGAGAACCACTACTCTTACTAGATGTGTAGTCCCATACAATGCCTTGCGTGATGAAGAGCATCTTATCAAGTGGTTCCCCTTCTCGAATAATATGGATGTCCTCAGTATACATGACTGGCTTAAGATTCTCACAGATTACTTTCAACACTTGTTCATCCACCGTTTGAAGCATTGGCACCTATATATGCATGTATAGATAATAATCAAATGACTAGGAACATGATTATTATATATACTCGAATAAAAGTCTTTTTGACTGCTTAATCTACTGACATGATTACCAACTAACTCTTAGTCAAGTGATACTTCTCTTGCCAATGTTGAACGAAGCCTCAATTGTTGTTCAAAATGTTAAAAAACTAGTAACATGGTTAGTTTAGATTATCAGTTAGAGGCACTGAATTTTCTGATATAGAGGAGTGTATAACTTACTTTCTTTAGGATAGCCAAGCAGAGATGGTACTTGATATTGTTTTTATGTTCCAAAGGAAGAATAGAGAGCATATTCTCCACATGAACATCTTTGTTTTCTTCAAGCTTTCGTTGTAAGTTTTCCATGATCACCGCCTTCATTTCCTTCGGGAGGCCATTTTTAGATAACCATAATTCTATATCGAGATCTTTCATTTTCATCTTCCGTCTAAGCTTCTCTGATCTTGTAGTTGACAACTGCATATAGGTCTGTTCCGCAACAAGAAAGGTAATTCGTTAGTTCATGTCAACACCATTAATGCTGAGACTGATCATGCAATAGAGAAAAAATTTTAACCCCAAAGAAAAAGTTTACAATAGAGATTTATTCCAACACCAACCTGTAAATTTCCAATGAGATATAAGAATAGTAGCAAGCCAATTATAGAAATAGACACCGCAAAGAGGTTTTCCCATGCATAGGTACTGGTCTGGAGATTTTGACCAAGAGAACTGCAAAAATGAATATATATATATATATATATATATATTATATACAGCCCCAACAAACCAGTTAAGAAAATTCTGTTCAGATAAATTTTATGCATACCTTAGATTCCGTAAACCCCACCAGAAACAATTCAAGAACTTATCTTGATAATCCTTTGACCCCAACACATCAGACTGAATGGCCTCAAGAAATATACCAAAATCAAATGTTGTTGCATTTGGTGGGTTTACAGGGCAAAATTTATTCAGAAATGTTACTCTAGATGTTACGTCTCTAGATGTATCGCCATTACAATAAAAAGTACTAGGTTCACATCCATCTCTTCCACAAGCGTGCTGCCAGCAAGCTGTTTCTCGTTGAATAGAAAAAAAGTACCAAAAGGCTCCAAGTACCTAATTGACCACAGAACTTTTGTTATAGAAAGTTCAGAAAATTGGGGAGAGGAGGGAAACAATGTAACTGCAAAGATTTAGGGTTCTTAATAAATATTACTTTAAAGCAAATTTTAGGAAGCAAGACTGAAACTTACATGACTAGCAAGGATATAGAGAAAGAAATTGAATAAACCTTTAACCCATATTCCAGTCTCCACGCTAGGATTCTTGTTAAGCTTCTTACACGATAGGTAGATGCAAAGAACCCGGGGCACATATTGCAACAAAACAAGAGAGCTCAGGAACTTCCTCGTATTCAAAGACCTCGAGACCCTCATTTTCGAAAAGAGAATTAAAATTACAACCTGCACATGTGACAGTAGTTTAAGCCAACAGATTAGTTGTGATACATGTTCAATCAATTAAGGTACGTATATAATCTAAAATTTATCACATTTGGTCAACAATTTCTTTGTTCTTGTCATAATCTGCAGCCTCCATGCAGCAAATACTACAATTTAAGGCTTCTCTTACCTGAGGAAGGGGAAGAACAGATAAAATGTCAATCAGGATGCAGGATCGCCAAATCTTCTTTGCTATAACCAAACCATCCTTTACTAGTTTCTTTCCTTTTGAAGAAACTACTTTGGATGCCTCAGAGGCCCCAGATGTGTCAACTTCTTTAACTAGTGTTCTAATTTTAAAAATAATGTGCACTATATAAGATAGGTCGGTGATTGATCGTAAAATAAGAGCAGCTTTCTTCAAATTTTGGTCCAATCCAAGGCACTTGCGATCTTCATGGATGATAGGAATGTAAAAGAACAAAGGATCCAGTGAGACTGCAAAAACACATGATATTATAAATAACTTGTTCCACATTGGAAGGAACGACCCCTGTGGATCAAGAATTTCTTTCATTAAATTTGGCCATTTTTCACAAGGTTCTCCATCTTTCATGGCAGATTTTCCATTTGCAGCCTCTAAAGTCAGAGCAGGTTCTGGATAAATCCTGAAGAAGACATATCCAAAATTCAAAATTTGCAATATTATGATCATATATATATTTTCATTGTGATCACAAACATGTTGCATCTTAATCTTACAACCATCAAGAAATTAATTAGATGTTTGGCTTTTCAAATGGTAAAGTCAGATACTTGATACAAAATAAATTCAAAAGAAGACAAAGAGTCTTAGAGAGTGAGAAACTAATAACCTCAGGAAAAAGGTTTTCTCGTCTGAGCTCTTCATAACTAAAGTTATTTCAGGGATGTCCACAGTTGAAGCTTCTTTGTGATACAATATCCTCTTCACTGTTTCATACTTATATATCGCCTCTGAACTCTTGATAGAACTAAATTCAAGCATGCAAGGTACAAAAACATTGTTCACAATTTACTTTACATAATTATTTTTTTATATATACAATTATTCTCTTATGCGGATGTTTGGACATTATTACTAGACGCCATTGTACACATGGAGGAAAGCAGGGAGGTAGTAGAAAATATATTAATTGTAGGACATGCAATGACAAGATTTATATCAATTAAGATTTCATTAGGAAATTAGAAAATGTGTAAGTACTAAGAGGCTTAGGCAGAAAAACAAATGTAACAATAAGTTAGTGCCGTTTTGATCCTTATAAACAACAACAAAAACAACACCAAAAAATTGCATAGACTACGGTTGTAATTGCCTTGTCCCCAGGTATCAACAACAACAGCAAATTTAGTTTATTCCTATGTGAAATTTTTGCTAGTACCTCTTTCTACACTTGTGGATAGTAGGCGACTTTGACAACGAAGTGGTTGTGCCGGCTACAAACACAGCAAACTGATCCCAACCAAAACATATATATGTTTGTCTACAAAAGGAGATGCTGATGTCTGAGATAAAAAATTCTGTTTGATTAACTTCATAATTAATTTTGACTGCATTTGAAAAGTCAACAAAAGTAAAAGAAAATTATGAACTACACTCTTTTGGGAATTCTGGAATTGGTTTGCTACATTAATTCACATACCTTGAACTCAAGTTGAGAAGAACTGATGGATGGCAGCAGTACCTCAAGTTGAGCTTCAATAAGGATGGGGCAAAGTGCTAAGAGGAGTGGCAGAGCAGAATGTGGCACCTCAAACTCGTTTTTTTAGTCATTTTGGTCCTCTAACTCTCGCAGAGTTCCAAATTAGTCACTCCGTACCATTTACTGTTAACTTTTAGAGAATAATTTTATATAAATCCAAATTAACATTGTCATCCTTCAAATAGACGGAAAAATTCACATAACTTGACGGATGTACTAAATTAAGGGTTCGAAAACCCCTAGGCACTAACATTCGAATTTGGTGCAAGAATTCGGTCCGATTCGATCGGTTTGGCGGTTTGAAATTCCACCAAGACATGACACCTTTTGGAATTTAGACTAAATACATGCAATGCATGTCAAGAGGAAAAAATTGTTATTATAAATTTGCGGCCACGTGGCGTGTTAATAGGTGGAAGCTACAAAGACATATTGCGACGCACGTCTTGATATACAGCATGCAATGCAAGCAAAGCAAAAACCAAAATCCACTCACTCCTCCATCACTCTCTTCTTCTCAGCTCAACCTATCTGAATGGATGCTTCTTCTTCCTTGCAACTCTCTCTCTCTTCCAAAACAGAAACAGAGAGTCAGAGTCATAGTCAGAGTCAAGAGTTTCCTTCCTGTCAAGTCCTCAAAACCTTCGGTCCCTCGCGTTTCTCGGGGCCATGTACGCCCGCAAATCTCTATCTCTCTCTGCCAACCTCCAAATCACAACACACTACGTTACCCTCTTTTTTTTTTTCCTCTGTTTTTTTTCTTTTCTTTTGTTTATTATTTTTTTTGGATTTTCCATTCATGTCCTCTCCTCCCTCCCGTTCCTACTTCCTGGTTTCACAATCAACAAACCAAAGGCAGTTTAATTTATATTATTTTATAGGACATTAATCGATAATTAGAAAAAACAAACAGAAAAATCTGCAAACCCAGAAACGCCAGGCAGCCCAGCCAGAACTCCTGCAATCCACGAGCACTTCATTTCTTAATTTTCAGGTGCAGGGATTTCTGGTCTGGTTTTTGGGTCTCCTATCTCTTTTGGGTATATATAAATTTATCTGTATTTCCTCTTATACATTAAAGTTTTGACATTCGGCTTTTGAGATTGAATTTTCCACACCTTCTGGTTTCTGCCACATTCTTTGATATATAGAGGTTTCTTTCTGCCTTTCCTTTCACATTTCCCGGATTCTGAAATTCCATGGAATTTGGGTATCTGGGTAAGGGTCAATAATCATCAAAAGGCTTTAGCTATGTGAATTCAGGTTATTTATTGGGTGGAAAGAGATACCCAGATTGAGAATTTGAGGAGAAATGATGGATTGAAGGGAAACTCTTGGGTTTCCCCGGTAATGCAGGCAACATATTTGATTAATGATCTCACTCACATATTTTGCAAAAGGGGTGATTAGTTTGGAAGCATTGGAAACAGGGGATTTTGGGAGGTGCAAAAAAATATGGGCTGCATTTGTTCAAAAGGAGCCTCAGAACAGGAAAAGGTGGAGGATTCTGACACGGTAGAACACCCTTTGAAGGATTATTCGGTTCAATTGGTTGCTCCTACCCCATCATTGAGAGATGACTTTGTAGCCGAAGTAAGTGGTCTTGGTGGTGGTGGTGGTGGTGCTGATGGGTCAGTGCGCTTGTTATCAAACACGGCCTCAAGAGCCAATAGGAGAAGCAATGCTGCTAATGATGAAGATCCTAATAAGACCCAAGTCATCTCAAAACCTGGGAATTCTAATTATCAAAGATGGGCAACAATGGATATGGAAGCAAGTGAAAAGCAAACGGTGATGTCTAGGATAGTGAGCATGCCACATGGTGCAGAAGGAGAACAAACTGCTGCTGGATGGCCATCATGGCTAACTTCGGTTGCAGGAGATGCCATCAAAGGGTGGGTGCCTCGACGGGCAGACTCGTTTGAGAAGTTAGACAAAGTTAGTTCTAATTGTTGCTTCTCTAATTGCCTTTTATTTAGTGCTATAAATGCCTGCTTCAATTCTGTTGTGGTTTCTATGTCATGAAATGTTATGTGATTTCAAAGATAATGTTAATGACTGGTAAATGGATTTCAGCAAGGTCTGAATGTTTAAGATAGAACAGCATCATGTGCATCTTTGTGTGTCTATATTTGTAGTTGTGTATTTTACATTTGATATAAAATTACCGTCTATGTATTTGGGACGTATGTACATTATTTATGTCAGATTTCGTTTGTATGTGTAGGCAGAATTTTTGTCTCAGGGTGAAATAGCTGTCCAGTTGACTATTAATTCAGCCATCTTATGTTTAACATTTCCAATGAATGTTTTCTTTGCAGATTGGACAAGGAACTTATAGCAGTGTATACAAGGCTCGTGACCTGGAAACTGGTAAAATTGTTGCACTGAAGAAAGTACGATTTGTAAATATGGACCCGGAAAGTGTTCGCTTTATGGCTAGAGAAATCCATATTTTACGAAGACTTGATCATCCAAATGTTATGAAACTCGAAGGGCTAGTCACTTCAAGAGTGTCATGCAGTTTATATCTTGTCTTCGAGTATATGGAGCATGACCTTTCTGGTCTTGCAGCAATACGCGGCAACAAGTTTACAGAAGCTCAGGTACGCACTTTTGTTTTGCTTTCAAACATTTAAAATTTTCATTGTGGCCATTATTTGTTTAATGAATCAGGTCGTATGGTTTGACATGTTTTACCTATGAATTAAGTACTAATTGAGTATAATGAATTCTTTTTTTAATGTTAAACATTGAAATTATCAAATTCTGTAACCAAACAGAGAAACAATCAAATTCATTTTCTATTTTCCTTCCTGGGAAATATTTCAGTGAAATCAAGAGATGGAGCCCCTTCTTCTCTTGTACCTTTCTCGTCTGTCTATTTATTTACTTCGGCTTCTTATCTTGAGTAGTCCCTGTACCATTTCAGACATACCATTTTCGTCCTTATTCTTTCAAGTTGATCAATGTCATCCCCATCCTCTCATGTCGCACATCAATGTCATCCTTGAAGTCAGTTCCGTCCAATTTTCCGTCAAAGGAATACTATTTCAAGCAATACTAATGTTTGATTTTCCGTGAACTTGTTATGTTGTCTGTACTCTCCTTTTTCTTCCGTTGAAATGCCATTTTGTCTCTGCTTTTACTGTTATTTTAAAACTGAAGAATACTTGTTTGCAACAAAATATTGTTAAATTATAATTCATGTGATGGAATTGCAGATTAAATGTTATATGCAACAGTTGCTTCTTGGACTTGAACACTGTCATAGTCGAGGTGTCCTGCACCGAGATATCAAGGGTTCAAATCTTCTGCTTGACAATGACGGTGTCCTTAAGATTGGTGACTTTGGTCTGGCTACCTTTTATGAGCCTGGTCAAAAGGAGCCATTAACTAGTCGTGTTGTAACTCTGTGGTTTAGGGCACCTGAGCTTTTGCTTGGTGCCACTGCATATGGAGATGCTATAGACCTGTGGAGCACTGGCTGTATCCTTGCGGAAATGTATGCTGGAAAGCCTATCATGCCTGGTAGAACAGAGGTAAAGGAGTTATTCCTATAAATCTAATGACAATTTGTAATGATGAGTTATGTTTACATTCCTAGTTCATGAGTTACTCTTCTCCTTTTGTTTGCTTGTTTATGATAAAAATTGCCAAAACTTATAGAGCAGTCAATTTATTCTGCATGGGTTTTCTTCGAGAATAAGTTATCAATAAGTTTCATATCTTCTAGTTTTATATATTTGTGCATACAAATTATCTGTAACACATTAACTGAATTTTCTCTTGAGTTTTTATGTAACTTACATAAATTTAGTAATAGTTGTAAAATCAAATCTGTTATATTAAGTGGCAGTTAATATTTGTTACTTTTCAGGTGGAACAAATGCATAAGATTTTTAAGCTTTGTGGTTCACCGTCTGAGGACTTCTGGAAGAAAACAAAATTACCACATGCAACTAGTTTCAAACCTCAACAACCTTACAAGCGTCGTATTGCTGACACTTTCAAAGAGTTACCTTCTTCATCTTTGGCTCTTATTGATAGACTCCTTTCGATAGAACCAGAGAAGCGGGGATCAGCTGCTTCGGCACTTAGCAGTGAGGTAAATTTGAGTTTCTTCTTTTAATACTAAAACCATATATGCCTTCATACGCTGTTTAATGCTATATATCTTCTGGTTTGTGTTAGTTTCACCAACTTGAAAATATTATATCATGCAAGTGTTCCTATAGTTTCCAGAAATTTCTTGTCCTCTGTGTTTTCATAGGAAAACAATGGTCTTTAGTTCTGGGAATAGCAATTTATTGACTAATGAAGTTCTGAGAATTGAAGAGATATTGTCTTTAGCTTATTGGATATGGTTTCTGCTACTTAAGAAAAAAGTTTTGTCCCATATCTGACTTTTTCTCATACTTTGCGTAACAGAAAAACTATACTTTGTCAAGAGCTGAGGGAAATGACAAGGCATAAGGATCACTTATCTTGACAGGAAATTATTGAAATACATTTAAGTTGTTTCTCTTATGCATATCCGAATTGTATAATTAACTGGGATATCATACACGCCAAATGTAGACCACATTTTGGAGAAATTGTTTGAACTGTAAGAAGGCCTTGGTATAGTTCATTTTTCCATTAAAACCTACGCAACCGATATTACCTCTAGTCAAGAAGAGAAAAGTATATTACTTGTTATAGCTAACCAATTATTTAGAATAAAAAGAAAAAATTGCAAACATGGAAAATGATTTTTTGTTCATTGCTCCTGTCAATATCCTTTTGATATCATTTATGAATGTGGTTCAAGTGTGAATATGGTTAATTTAATTTGGATATGTTTATTTCAGTTCTTCACTACGCAGCCACTACCTTGTAATCCATCAAATCTACCAAAATATCCTCCAAGCAAGGAGTTTGATGCCAAGCTTCGGGATGAGGAAAAAAGGTACATCTCTAGGTGGCCTCTATTTCTTTGAGTCTCATGTAGATATTGAAGATAAGAAAATATTAACAATCTTATTCATTTTAGTTTCTCACAGTTTTAGTTGTAATATTGTACTTCTCAGTTTATTTTCCTCTTATTATCCTTTCCCTAAACTGATAAGTTGATAATATATTGGGAGAGAATGAATAAGTAGAAGTATTAGAAGTATTGTTAATTATTTTTACTTGAGGCAGGCTGTGTTTGGCACTTAGAATTATAGCTTCTAGGATTACTGACACGCAGGTGTGAATTTGGATATGTTTACTCAACCCATTTTTGTAATATATGATGTTGATATGATGATTTATAACAGAAGAAAGTAACTAAGCTGTCACTATAGATATATAACTCTACTAGGTTCCAAATCCCTCACAGCTTTTGCTCGGAGATATGTTTTCTGAGTGAAGCTAAATTAAAAACATCTATCTCCTTTAAGATTAGTAAGAAGAAAATTTTATAACATTTCTCAAAAGGTGATGCTTTCAAAGTTCCTCGACTCTTATATATTCGATCTCTTATTATATTTCAGGCGAAAAGTAGATGCTTTTAAAGGACGTGGTACTGAATCTGTTAGAAGAAGTTCAAGAGATACCAAGGCAGTGCCAACGCCAGAGTTTAATGCTCAGCGAGATGCATCTTTGCAGGTATTATAAATGGCTCAACACATGTACTAATTAATTAATTCTTGTACTTGATATTTTGAGTTTCACTTTGGCTAACATAAATATAGCAGGGACAGAGAAACCTAAAAACCACAGGTCACAAGTACATGCCCCAACGAGACAGTGTCTCTTGCTTTGCAATGGAACCGTCTGGAGGAGCTAGGCAGAATGGATACTCGCATTGTAGTTCAATGATACACCCTAGTGCAGTAGAATCATCATTGAATAAGACAGTTTCTACACTAAATAAGTCAGAGCTAAGGACACAGAAATCTCACAAGCCTCAAGCTGGAGCAGACTTTTTTAATTCTTCCAATAAGAAGGATGAAAGAGTGCATAGCAGAGATTCCAGAATGGTAAGGAATTGATTTTGTTTCTTCGAATGTTGTCAACTAATCAGGGATTAGACAGGACCATTTTAACACAATGTGGCATAGATTACTAAAGAATGTGCAAGCTTTTTTGTAATTTTGCCCATATGCCCTTTTCAAATTCCTTTTCCTTTTTGTACTCTTGTTTTCTGATATAACAGTATTCTTGAATTATGAACCACCTTATTTGTATGGTTTCAGGGCTATGTACCCAAAAACAGAATCCATTACTCTGGACCATTGGTGCCCCCAGGAGGAAACATTGAAGACATGCTCAAAGAGCATGAGAGGCAAATCCAACAGGCTGTACGTAAAGCACGGGCACGTTGACAGGGGCAGACCAAATAGAGAACTTTGATAACAACCATGGAAGACATCGGTGGTCCTGAACAGTCGATATTCTGCTGCCTCTCTTGTAACCATGCTGTCTGCTCACCAAAAACGGCCACTTGCACCTGCCAAGTTTGCTAGTGAACTATAAAAGCCAATGAGAAATGTTAGCATGGAGGCTGAACCAAGATGAACGTAGTTATATATTCAGAAATGAAAAGCAATGTATGGGGTGGATGATATATTCTTTTGTACCACTGAAGTGAGAAGCGATAAGGATTTGTGGGTTTTTTGTTGGTTACTCAACATTATAGGTTTCAGGCTTTCGCCTTGTACAGAGGACGGATGTTGTTGATGTACATTGTAAGATATCGATTTTCTTTTCTTCATGATTCAGTTTTCTTGTAAGTTACGAATACGCTGGATTTTACGCGCTGATATGCATACTGGGCTAATCTGTCAACAGTTTGTACGCAATAATTACCAGTTTTTGAGGCAACATGATCAACTCCAGCGATGCTACTCTTGCTGTGGAAAGCAGCATTAGAAGATGTATTTTTTTCCTTCCTATCTAAAAGGGGAAAAAAAAACAAAATAGTTATCTCAAATATATCTTTAATGTGACACCAGACTGTAGGGATAAAATCATTTTTACCACATTACAGACAACCTATTAACATCCACAAATAATGAGACAAAAATGGGGCACCGCCATCGTCCACTCGAAGCTTCCCTCCGCAATCCTAAAACAGCAATACAACCACAACTGGACGAGGCTCCTATAGTATTTCCCACCGTTCATGTAATGGGAAGGACGCCCTCTAGAACAGCCGTAAACCGCAAGCAAGAAAGCTGACAAAACCCTAACAAACCCTGGTTGTGAGACTGGCGGCGCTAGAAAAACCCTAACCTATAGGACGTTATATTTTGCTAGTATCTTTTGATAAATAGTCCGTTCATTTTCGAGAGAAATGTTAGTTAGGAATTGAAAGGGTTTAGGGAGCTGATGAGAGAGGAGACCAATCCATAAATTGAACTTAGGGTAACCCAAAAGAAAAATAATTATCCTTGGACTGTTAATGGAATAAAACAATGAAACCAAATTGACAAAATTGAAACTTCGGAATCAAATGCCTTCTAACATAGTGATTAGAAAGTAGTTTACCATTATTATTTGTAGCTAAAATGCATGGGAAGTACATGTAAGAAAGGAGGGGGAGGAGGGAGATGAAGAAATGAAAGCTAAATGCATGAAACAAAGACTTGAAAAGAAAAAAGCCAATTAAAACTATTTAAAAATTTTCTATTTGGTTTTTAGTTTGTATTTATGTATCATTCCTAAGACAATTTACAGTACTGTGAAAGAGATTCTGCAGAAATTCTGCAGTACATCTCTTGAGCTAGATAAGAAGACATTGCATACAAGAACCACACAAATAGCAACTTCTTTATTGAGAAGGAAAATAGAAAACCGAGAGAAAGAAAAGGAAAAAAATAACAAAAAGGAAGAAATAAAACAAGATGTACTAACTTGAAGAGCCAGCAAACTTTCTGTACAATTGGCTTAACATATACATTAACTGCACGACTCGCTTTATAACTCTAGAACTAGTTTTTGTTTAGTGAGCACCACCGATATCATAAATTAGACTACATATCCTGCTGCTTAGGCTTTCGACTCAATTCAGAATACTGGCCACCCATTAGCTGCAAAATTTCTTCCCACAAACTTTCTGAAGAAGACTCTGATGAAGCCCCATAAATCAAATTTGAGCTGCAAGCAGCCACGTACCAATAATCCGATTCAATCTCCTCTGTCAACTGATCCAGCTGCCACCCAGCATATCCAACAAAGAATCTGAAATCCTGGGGCTTAACAAGACCCTTCTTTACTAGCCCAGCAGCTTCGTCCAGGCTGTTACGAGCACCAAAACAAAGGCCAGGGATCACTTCTTCAAACCCAGGAAGCTTTGTCTTGCCTGCTGTTTTTAACAAAAACATGCTTGCCTCGAGAGGCCCACCAAAATGCAAAGAACAATCAGAAAATGTGGTTGCAAGATCAAGATTAGTGGGCTTCATGTGTTTGATCCTTTTGTGGAGTGGCCTGTTGATAACAACTCCAAATGGCCCCTCTTCTGGGTGTCTGGTTCCTGATCTGAGGAGAAGAACAACAGTTCTTTCAAAGGTGCGAACTCCGTCAAGCTTTTCTGTGGCAACCAGGACACAGCCTGTCTCAGGTACGGAAATAGGATGAGCCCACTTCAGGCCAAGAGGTTTCGATTGGTAGGGAGTCCCACCTTGGTTCTGAGCATCAGATTCCACTTGTTCTCCCTGTTGAAAGTTTCCAGTGTAAACTTGACAATTTATGGAGGATCATCAGAGATTTTATTTGGTAACGATGCTAGAATTACTAACATCCTGTGAGGACCAACATAACTTACAAGCACATTATTTGGATCTGGCCATTAGACTTATTAAATGCTAGACTTCAGATAAATATGATCGTAAGAAAGTGCAAGAAAATTTTACGCAGGCAATGTAATGCTAGATCAGGGGTATTCCAGGAATATCACTTGTTTCTTTCCTGGAAGGAAACTCCCTAAATGTATATGGAATGATGCACTAAAAACCAAAAGGCCACGAACCAATACCAGTTGTGAAAAAAAAAGAAGAAAAAAAGAAAAAGAAATCTATGCTAGGGTATCACCACTTCTACAGGCTCTGCATCATCATCAACTTAGAACAGTAAAGACAATGAAATACATAAGGAGGGAGCAACAAAAGACCAAAAAAAGTTTATCAAAGGAAAACACGAGAAACATGGAAAAGCAGTCCATCAGGTGAATGGTCCATGTTAATGAAAAGTGGATAGGTTGGGTAAAATGTTGATTTCTCATTTTGGAAACCCGGAAAAACCAACTGATCTACATAGATTTTCTATCTGTGTATTTGTAAAAACTCAAATCAGAAGGTCAACTCAAGCCCATCCATGTTACCTTTGCATACCCCCTTCAGCCCTTCAGCCTCCTCCCATATATCTCCTCTCTTTCTCTATCTCTGTCTCTCTTGATTTTTCAATCAGATTTCTTTTACTTAGATTTTCAAATAAGTTGGAGATTTTCTTTGTGTATTCGTGTAGTAAGATATTTGTGATACGGTCGGTCTGTGTCAGTGAGTTTTGCTTTATCTATAAAAACAGGAGTATCGGTATGGGTCATGTGGCTGAGAAACCAAATTTAACTGAGAGGGCAAATAACACATGTAAACTAATCAATAACAAGATGTTTGGAAATTCTATAAGGCTTATTATCACCTTGAAATAAAAAAGATTAACTAACAGGGGAGAGGAGTGAAACTTCCTATATCTGATGAGTATCCTATAGGACACAACGATTACACATTTTAGTTTCAGAGGACATTAGCCCTTCAGGAAAGTAAAACATCACCTGCCACCCAGTATATAGCTTTGCTCTGAACTCTCTCCAATCCAAGTTTATACGATAATTTTTCTGGGAAGAAGTGTCTCTGAAGTTTTCTGAAGAATCGTTTTCTTTTTCACCATCACCTTCTGGAACAGAGCGGTCACCATTTCCTGTATGAAATATCACCACCATACATGACGTCATAAATTAAGTTGTAATAGAAAAACAGTAATTATTTTTGCCAACAGGTGCAAAGTTGGTCAGGACCCTAAACCATGCTCAATGAAAGTAATACGTAAAGCTAAGACCTGCCTTCAGGTATACATGCATACATACGGAGGATATGTATTTTGGATTGATTTAGGATTTTACGAAGAAAAAAACACAAAGAAAGAAAGAACCATGTAGATAATCACTTAGAAAAAAGCTAGAACCCATAGAGCTGTAAGTGTAAGGGAAAGTAATATTATTTAAAATCCCAGCCACAAGCTGAGGATATACTCTCAATAGAATAAACGGAAATACAAAGATCATTAAGCACTTGGGTTAGCCCAAGTGATCAGGAGGGTGGGTGATGAATTAGGATTAGGATAGCTCAAGGGTTCAACTCCCTCCACAACCAATAAAAAAACAGAAAAGATCATTAGCTTCCTGAGAGCAGTGAAGATATATATTAAACTGGACAGAAAATTTCAAATTAAAGACATTTTACCCTTTGGCCATTCTACACCTCACTATTGGGATCAACAAAATCTAGTAAACTACCACCAAATACATGATCCTTTAAAACAGTACCATACATACTAAAAATCTACAGCTTGGAAAATTTTTAAGCTCAGAAGTGATTGGTGCGCTAAACCAATAGAATTAAGTACCCAGGAAAAAAAAACAAAAAAAACAAAAAACAAAAACAAAAACAAAAAACAAAAACAAAAACACTAACATTCGAGTTGGTGTAGGTTACAAATCTGCAAAGAAATATAAGTTTACAAGGGAACCTTTCTCTATTGTTGGATAATACATATTCATAAGCTCTTTGAGGTACAGGAAGTGGTGTGTGGAATTGAGAACAAGGACTATATCCTGTAAATTCTAAACAACGAATTAGTAGTTGCATCCATTGTCAAGAAAATCTAGATATTAACTCTTCTTCGCAGGAATGCATATCTACAGATACTCCAGTCCTTGCACGATTTCCCCTTGTTATTTTAAGCAAGCTCTGATAATGATAGGTCTCAATTTCTTGACATTTCAAGATCAAACTAATAGCTCTTTGACCAAGAATTGATTTTAAAACCACAAAATGCACCAAACAATCACTGTCTATCACAAGTGGGGACACTTATGTGCCAGACTCTAATTCGACGAAACAAATGAATCTTTTGTCAATGTTGTCCAAACAGTCATGTAAATTGTATAATGCTGTAAGGGTAGAAAATATGGACATTGCGCCTAATATAAAGCATTACACATCTCTACCTTGGATGCTAAAATTAAAAATAAAATAGCATCATAAAAATGACAAATAGATAGGGGACAATGATTAGAAACTTGGCTTCCTTCAAGGAGTAATCTAGCAATACCACCAACTGTCACTGTCTTGAAAACAAGAATGAGGTTGGCAGTTTAGCTAGTCTTAACATACTTAACTCCTTCAAACATCCAACATAGCTTGATACTGTCTTGAAAATGCTGAGAACTTGAGCAGAAATACAATAAGGCTTTACATAAATTTATCTCGAATATGAGTTTCCTTCCTTCCTTCCACCTTTTCCCTTCTTCCAAAGGAAAAAAAAGGAAAAAAAAATGAAAAGTAGGGTGTTGCGCAGACCAAATTATGCCACTGTACCCATATCGTGTCAACTAACCCCATGACCTGGCCCAGCTCAATATGCACAACATAGATTTTGGATCTACTATGTCTACTAATAATGAAACTTTAAGGGGTTGAGAAATAAGAAAGCATCTGTAAGCTATATAGTTACTCCAAGAGGCAAACAATTGTGATGAGAGAAATGATTGATGCTGGATGAGTTCCATTATCTAATACTGCAAAGTATAGTTATTGGCATATTGCAAGCACTCCCTTAAGACATAATTTATACAGGTCATCTTCACAATGTTAACTACTTTGAAATAATATTAAAAAACATTTCATATGAGTAAACAGTGGCAGTTTGCATCCTTTTTTGCCAATCTAATTTGGCACCCAGTATACTAGTTATGTACATCATATATTCCAAACTCCAAGGCTCTATTCAGTTGCTATGAGCAACTAAATAAAAATAAAAAGCAACAGTTTAAGTAGTTTTCCTCTTTGCTTTTTGGCTCTTGAAACCATAAAACCCCAAGTTGCATATAAACATTTTATATTTTTCAAAAACTAGTTTTTAGTTTTACTCATGATCACATTTTTCTCCATGTTATATCTTTCCATAGCTAGTTTACAGTTCTCACACATGTCATAGACAACCGTGGCCTCATAGACCCCCTATCCCCTTTCTTAGCCTCCACAACTGACAACATTCCTGCTCAGACATACCTGGGTGGCATGCAACACTCTATCCAGGAGCTGAGACTTCTTCTCAGGCATACAAGAGACAGCACAAGCGGACAACTGTAGCATAAGCACACTTTTGGATAAACTGAGCCAGCTAAGACGGGGAAACTTCTAAATTTTTCTGTCCCGTACAGCACTAGGAACAAGTATTCATTCTGATGCATAGTAGCTGGCGGCACAAATGACCATCCTAGTTCCACCAATTTAACGGCTCGGACTAGAACATCTCCCAAAGTTGTTCCTTAAGAAACAGGTAAACCACGGCTTTCAAACCATAAATTTATCTTGTCCCACCAAGCTAGATACAAGTTTGCAAGGAGATTGCCTAGTATGATAAATGCGGATCTCCAAGGACCTGTTCCACCCCATCCAGGTAAAAACTACCAAAATGTTCTACAAAGGAAGCTTCGCTTTTTACGAAAGCAGTAGTGACAGAGGCCTAATCCCATGTGCACCAAGGGTATCTGATGATTATAACCAGATAGCTGAAGCAGACCCTTTACCAGCAACCCCATGATGGGCCAGCCCCTCAGGCCTATAATGCACTCCCCAACTAATATTTGGGCATTCTGTTTTCTTAGGTTCCAAGCCTAAAACTTAGTGTTTAGCTTAAACATCAGAGAATCCAAGTTCAGTAGACGGTAGATTTCGACATCTACATGCTCCAGCTCCCCGGAACCCAAACAGAGCAGAAAGTCAAACTTCACAATTATAAACGTTGAAATTTCCCACGATGCTCATCTATCACCATGATCACAAACCCATAAACACAAATCGAAGCAAGATAAACCAAACCCACCAGCAAATCAAAATCTAAGAAAAAAAAATTCATAGTGACCAATCACATGCAATTCAATTCCAGTTCAGAAAGCATACCTGAAGAAGAGGAAGAGTTAGATGAATTTCCATTATTGTTCTTCTTCCCCATGGCTCTGACAACCAAAGAACGAAACCCATTAGAGGAAACCCTGCGCTTCGAATTTAAGACCCCACTCTCAAAGTCCCTCCCATCTTCAACACCAGCCCAAGAAGGCCTCACATTTCCGAAGTTCCAAGAAATGGGTTTCTCAGTAAACGAGTTCCTATGCATAAAAGGGCTTCTGTTGATGTTCTTGACGTGCAGGGAGCACAGATCCATGGCGGCCTCACCAGCAGAACAGTTTTCTGGGAAAAAGAAAATATGGGTCTGCAGAGTTTACTGTTCTTCTCAACGTTGGAAACGATGAGAAAGAGAGTGAGAGAGTGGAGGGTCAGAAAATCGGTAACGGATATATAAAATGGAAAACCAACAAAACGAAGACACCAATCAGAAACCAGAGAAGAGCTGAAAACGACGGTATGCAGCAGAGAGAATATATTTTATTTTAATCGAATTGTGTGTTTGTGAGGCAGTGAAAGAATGCGGTTTCACAGCCTGGTGATTTTAGTGCGGTTACATCTAGGCGAGTTGCGTGTGCGCTGGCGGGTAAAGTTGTAAACTGACGCGCATTTGCAACTGCTTCTTCACCATGTCTCCGCAATGAGCAGACTTTTCTCGAGCATGTTTTCTAAAATTTTATATTCAAGTGTGGTGATTTGGGTGAAAATTCATGTATTTGTAGGACTTTTGAGACATGAGTGCGAGCATTCATATATTTGATGGAAATTTACTAAAATTTTCTGTAATTAAATGAAAATGAAAATTGAAAAGATGTGACTATTTAAGTTTTGAAACATTTTTAAGTGAACGGATGACTTACTTATCTCTTCAAATAAAGTCACATATTTTGAGAAATGTTCTTTAAATTCAATGAATAGGCAAGTTCCACCCATTTTAGAAGTAACTTTTAACACTTACATATTCAAACACATACTCCACCGATGCTAGAAATTATTATAGTGTAGTGTCTCATTGAGGACAATCATGGTTCGCTAACTAGAGCCTTATAATTTGGAGTGCAAAAGTTGTAAGGACGTGGTCATTGTTTTTGGGAGGCAAGCACAGGTCAATCATGAGCACTGTAGTGGGGGCGTAAATTCTCTTAAAGACATAATGCCAAGCATCTACCGTGGCCAATTTTTTAGGTTTTTCCAACTCATATCATGTTAGTTTAGAATTGTGTATGCTTGTAATTTTAAGCATGAAATTGTATGAAATTTTTTTAAAAACTCTCTGCAATTTCACCCTATCTATACAATAATTAAACTTTGATAGTTCTGTGTTTAAAATAGAGTTATTTAAACTAACACCCCCTTAGATTTTTGAGTTTTTCACAAAACCTTTTGAGGTTTCAAAAATTACACAAACACCCTTGAGATTTTAAATTGTTTTCACAAAACTCCTTTTCGTTGATTTTTGGTCCAAATATTGATGATTTTATATAAAAATTTCTCCGAATGAAAAAATTAGTATTTAAAATTAGATTACACATGCAATCATTGAGGCTAACTTTGTCATTTGCATAATTTTTTTTTTCAAAAAAAATCATCAATTCTTGGACGAACAATAAAATAAAAGGGAGTTTGTGTCATGCCCTGAAAAGGTCTCACCATAATAGCCAAGAGATTAAGAGCGGAATAGGCGCATCTAAGCAGATGGTGAGGATGATGAGTATGTCCAAAGACACAACCTTGCATGAGGCAATGCAAAATAATCACATTAGGGTGGTCGAATTGTTGATCACATAAGATTTCTTTGGTGTAGGAGTGGTGTTGAGAGTGGATAGATCCACTCTCCACCATGTGCTAAAATTGGGCACCAAGAGGAAAGGCCTACCACATTTTCTTCCTTTTGATCATCTTATTCACCTCTACTTTGGTGTCGTAAAATATAGGACATCTATTTTGATGTCTCAATGAGAACCTATGAAGCAAGCACAAGGAAGGAAGACCTTTCATAAAAGGTTTGAACTTAGAGACCATCCAAGATTAAGCTTCGAGGGTAAAACTCACATATTTCTTTTTCGGGATTTTATGTGTATACACCAGATTATGCCTCTCAAAAACTTTCGGTGAAATGGATTGTTTTAAGATCAAATGATTTTAAAGTTCCGCTTCCAATCATTAGAATGTTTGATTTTTAGTTTTTGTAACTTAATAGTTATGATTTGATTCTTAAACATGTTTCCTTCATTGGGGTGGTATGGGCCCCACAGGCAAAGCTAGAATGTTCTAGAATACTTTATCTATTGAATTTCAGAGGTCGCTTTGACCTCCGAGAACACTCTAGAACGCTCGTTGGAATTTTTTTGGATGTCATTCGGATGTCTTAAATTCAGTTCCACATGTAATTAGTGTTTCCACAATTAGGGTTCCGTGTTACCTTCATATCCACTTTCGGTTGAATCTGATGGTTTATTCCTCTCGACCTAGGACCCATAGTTGAGTATACTTCCAAGGACGGATCTGCTCAAGGTTGAACTAGCGTGGGACTATGAGTTAGTTGGAATTTGTTTTTCTAAATATATTTAACGAGTTGATTAAATTATCAATATTTACATCAATTAATTTGAGTACTTTGCCAAGTTTTACGTTTAATGATTTCATAAGTTATTGTGGATGTTAATTTAAAGCTTATATGAAGACTTAAATGTGTACTCTTTTATGATCATAAGTTTAATGCTTCTACATTTATAATTTAATTTGAGAAATAATTGGAAAAAATCTTGTTAACAGTTTTACGAGTTAGGATTAATCTATCTTTACATATATTTATAGTTACTGAGTTTTAGAGACTTGTTTTCAAACAACCACATATGTACCATTCCTCATCCCATTTCAGATATATTAAGTTACAATTGGGTCTTCAGACTCATCAGAACACGCATATATGTTTTTGGTAGTGTGACCAATTTAGATTTCCATGCTCACTTATTGACTAATTTAAATTCGCATGCACGTGTATTGAGATTATGTTGCACATCTGTATGGCCAGGATGTATTGCATGCACATGTATCGAGATTACTTTGCATGTGTGTTTGGCTAGATTGTTTATATCTGCACATGTAATGATGTCACTCTACATGTTTGTTTGGCCAGGATTCCCCAGCCTACCTATTCAATTTGTCTGATTGGACATGGGTTTTGCTTTCATGTGATTACACTTGGATAACAGTTTGATGTGAAAAGTAAAACCTCTAGTTTAACTAAATCCTTATAAAGATGGTTTTCTTAGCTTGTATACATGTCTATAGACACATGTAATCCCCCTCAAGGGGATTAACCCAGCTCGATTGAAAGGAGAGAGGGGTTAAGAGGGGAAACGTTCCTTAGCTAGATGGCTCTGTAAGAAAGGGAGAGGGGTTTAATTGGGCAAATGACGATTGTTAGAAGGTTGATTTTTTGGTGTAAGAGATTTTCTAGATAAAACATTGCCTCGTCATGTCACTTGTGACCGCTTCTACTTTATCTCTTTCTTCAACAAGATAATAGATGATGATTTTGATTATGAAATCTGTAGGATCAACTCTCAGTTGAAGTATGCTTATGAACATGGAGATACAAACGGAAATAGAAATTTTAAGAATATTGCACTTTATCTGTCCAAACTAGAATTCCAACCTTATGAGAATTGGCCTCAGTTGACTGAGGATTTGGATATCCTTGTAAAATATGGATACGAGCATAATGATTTGAATGTGGAAATATATCAATGGTAGTGAATGCATATCATTATACTAGTTATAAAGAAACAAAAAATTGTTGAGGTTTTTCAAGAAATATGCATACCCATTATATCACTAGCGAGAATGGAATCGTTATTTATTATTTTGTTAATGTGCCGCTGTGTCTAGGGTCATTCAAATGATGGTTGATGATGCATCAGACTCTCCAAGTGAATATTCTATCTCTTTAGTAGTGTAAGTTGCAAACATATATCTTTAGAATTTCAATCATGTGACTATGAGAAAGTAGACATTGTTTAAAAAGGTTTTCAAGTTTTTAGAATTTCAATGAGAAAACTTCTTGCTTGGTTATCTCAAGATATTATAACTCAAGTATCTGTTATTTGTATACCTATCTAAAGTCCCACACAAAATGATTTGGGGTCCTAACATGAGTGGAACTTTTTCTACGAAGAATGCACACAAGCTTCAAATGCAAAACCTCACTTCTCATCCCACATTCCTTGAAAGCTCATTTTATATGGATTTCAACATCGTGCCTAAGAGTATTTTATCTTGATATCGTTAAAAGTAATATACATTCAATGATGTTGTCTTACATGTCGATGAATGTTGTTTAAACTTAATATACAACATGTGAGAAGTTGTTTGACGACGTTTGAAGGACTTTGTGAAAACTGCCAATCTCTTGTTCTTTTATCGACCTCTTATTTATGTTGCACACTAAGTTTTGACAACACACGACGTTATCACATTATTATTCTGTGAAATCCTTAATTTAAAAAAAAAAAGAAATTTAAATCTATAAATCTTTTTCATCCAAAACATTTTCAAAGTTTGTGTCATTCATGTAACACCTTTATTGAGGCCCAAAACATCTTAAGAGGGGCCCAAGTATATTTCAAGCCAAATGTGTAAAAAGAGGATTGGGCCAATTCACATAACAGAAAATCAAGCACCATTCAATCAAGATGAAGCCCATTATCTAGAAGCAGAATCTACACCGAGTGCACAAATGCTAGAAGCAATCCATCCAAAGCCTTCGGAACATACCTACACTCTTAGATTGAGCAACAAAACTCATGAAAATTGTCAAACGGGAGAAGAAAAGGCATGCTGAACTCAATAGTCCTGTTATACTTAGCCATAATGCTCGAAGATTACACTGCCAGATGAAGGCATAATATACCACTTATGACGGGTTTGAGGGCCTAATAACGATTTGTGTGACACACTTTGAATGTTGAAATTGTTACTAAACATATGGTGCAACAAAAAAGAAATTTTCACCTGGAGATTAAGATGAAATCATGGCAATTCATCAAACCAATCAAACATCCTACTTTGTTAGCAAATATAGTTCATTTGAAAAAGAAGCCTGGCTTGATAAGGACATGTGTTGATTTTCGAGACCTCAAAAGGCATGTTTGAAAGATGAATTTCAACTTCCCAACATGGATATTTTGATCGATTCAACTTATGGGCAAGGTCTATTGTCCTTCATGGATGAATTTAATGGGTGCAATAAAATTAAGATGTCTCCTAGGGATGCTGAAAAGACAGCTTCACCATATTTGAATTTCTACTATATTTGAGCCATTTACCAACGAGCTATGGCGGTTGTGTTCCATCATATGATGGGCAAGGAAGCAGAATAGTACTAGGCCTGGGCACATTTCGATAATCGTGCATTCGAAGAGATGTTGACCACTAAACCGGATGTCGTAGTTGCGGCAAGGAGATGCAAGACCGACTATAATTGGCATATCGATAAATTGGTGCGGTGTGACGGGCATCAATGACAAAGGACTGAGAGAGAGAAGTTGAAGGCTCTAAGACCACTTCGCGGTTAGGGGTATGGAGAGGAAGAAGATGAAGATGAAGAAAATAAAAGAAGAAGCCGAGGATGAAGAAAGAAGAAAGAGATGGAGAGAGATAGAGAGAATAAAATGGCTAGGAGAAAATAAACTTATGTGGAAACCAAGGAAAAGATAGAAACTCTAACATGTTTTTTTAAATGTTTTTAATTCTTTAAAAAATTAATAAATACTATTATTATACCAACTTTACACAAGAAAAATGATTAGTCTAGTTGTATTTGAGCATTATACTAACAACATGCCTAAGGTTCGAGTCCCCCAGAACGTATCAAATTTTTGCAATTGATAGGCAACAACTTAATGGCAGTCCGGTTTGGGTGTCGCCAGTTTGGGAAAATTTTAACCGTTTCAAGACCCGTTCACCACTGGTTTGGCCAATTTTCTTGTTGATTTCAATAATATTACTTTAAAAAATCAGACCTACCTGCTAGAACCGATCTGGTTTGGCCAGTTTGGTCGAGTTTTCGGTATAAATGCCCAGCCTTAAAGATTACTTGGTTGATCTTGTGATGAAGTCTAAAACTAGTAAAGGCCATTGAGGAGTACTGAGGAAGGTGCTGGTGGAGATGTGTCAACTATACAGCTTAATGATGAACTCCAAAAAATGCGCATTCCGTGTTTCATCCAACAAATTTATGGGGTTCCTAGTACACCAGCAGTGTCACATTTCAGGATTGGCTCCGCCGTATCACAATATTGTCTGCTTTGGCTCCGCCACATCCCAGAATTGACTCCGCCGTTACAAGCAGGGCATTGATGTTGATCCATAAACGACCAAAGTCATAAGTTCCCTCATACCGCCAGCCAATCCAAAAGAATTGAAGAGCTTCATTGGAAGGTTATCATACATCCAACGTTTCGTTTCTGGTATAATGGTTGTGACAGTTGCTTTTATTGTTCTATTGAATAAAAGGAATAGTTCATGTGGAGCAAAGAGTGCCAAAAAGCATATCGACAGATGCAACAATTAATCTCCAAGCTGCTTACCATGAGAGCACATATCTCAAGGATTCCACAAAAGCTTTATTTTACCTTAACGAGCACTAATGTAGGTGCCTTACTTGCCAAGATAACAACGACGGGGAGGAAAATCATATTTACTATATCAGTTAAGAGGATATGATACACAGTATACAAAGGCAAAAAAGTACGAACTGCGACTAGATCACGATGCATGATTATACTAAATGAAGAGGGGTTGTGTGATGATCTATCTTCCTCTTCTAGCACGCACTCGGTGCCATTGGCAATAGCTCCTTTTTAAAGTAAAAGTTCGCACAACTTAACTCGTTCTCCAGTTCTTGTTGTTGAAGTCTCAAACCACCAACCACTGAGCACACATCTCTATACTACGAGTAGCATGTGCCCCAAAAACAACATGTGTTGACTTTCTCAATAAATCAAGTAGGAAGTTCACGTGAAGCCCTAAGGAAGTGGCATCACAGATCACATCTCTCCAACAACAAAAGCTTATAATTATTAGTGACATATTAAAGAGTTGTGTGATTTCCTTGCCAGCCTAAGCCACAAGCCTCCCAAGCTATTGTAAGACATGCGCAACCCTTGTGCAATGCTTCCATTTTTATCTTGAGATGCATGTGGCTCTAATTTTGCCTCAATTTGGAGAAGTACCCAATGATTTCACTACCCTTGGAAGTGAAAGCAAGATTCCGCTTCTCGCATATTTTTCTTCCGATACCAACCTTGCATGATGATAAATGGAAGGAAGCAATCTTTCACAAGAATTCGAGTGAAACATACTAAAGAAGGAAAAGTAACGGTTCTAGTAAGTTTAATAGGCTTTAGAAAAGCAGCAAAATTTCTCTATATCAGTCAATGGAAGGAAGCACCTCATCTTGACTCCAAAAGATTTTATGTAGTACAAAAGGATCACAATGGTTAGGTGCCAAGCAAGCACCCTTATCAAGCCTAAAGTATCGTTTTACCCGATGAGGTGAATAATGAACAGAGACCTCAGAGTGGTCATCATTAAAAGTAGGCAATGGAAGACCTACATTCAAAAGTGTCCTTTTTTCAATTAACGGGCATGTGCAGGTACCAAATAAGCCTTAAATCCTCCGTTCATGTCTCCATAAAAACCCTTTCGGCACCTACTGTAATGTCGAAAAACAAAGTTCTAAATGTTATCCATACACTTGAGAAATTTCAGACCAATTAAGGGCAACCTACTTTATGGCGAATGAATCATGATCAACATAACTTTGCTTTATTTTATGGTATTATGAAATTGATGTATGAACATGAATAGTTTGTCTTATTTAATATAGGGCTAAATACTTTTTTGGTCATCACTGGATTATATACAAAATTTCAATTTGGTCACTAAGAAAAAAATGTAGCCAAATTGATCACTGTATTATCCAAAATTTACAATTGATTTCATTAACTTCTGTTAAGTGGCCTCAATTGACGTTTTCATTTTTAGTTTTTTTAGGAAGCACGTGCAGTCTTCTTCCTTCTACTCAATGATTTAGGGTATATTGTGCTATTAGGGTTTAACAAATTAGGGGAGGTTTGGGTTCAAATCAAAATTGTAAGGTCTAAGGTCACAGATCGGATGATATATTGAAGCTTGAATTGATTGATTGCGAGCAATATTGTGAGTTTGGATGGTAAAGAGATGTAATCAAGGTGAGGGCTGATGCGCGATGACAATGAAAGTTATTTTGGCGTGTAATTACTTGGGTGAATGGGAAATTGCAGACTCTATGGTTAACTATGTTGAAGAAAATCATGTTGGTATTGATGTTAACTTGGGAAACACTGCGATAGATTTGTATGGAGACATGGTTTGGTGAATTTGGCCCTGAAAGTATTTGATCGGATATGCATGAAAGAAACGTAGTCTCATGGGCTTCCATGACCACTGGTTACTCTCAAGCTAACCATCATGCCGAGGCGGTGAGCATTTTTCAAGAAATGATGGGAGCTAATGTGAGACTAGATAAAATATAACGGTGGCAAGTGTGCTTTCTACTTATGCGCATATGGGTTCACTTGATGCGGGAGACTCTGTCCACCACTACATAAGGAAGCATGGTGTGAAAGCAGATATCTATGTAGGAAACGACTCGGGTGTTTGTCATTTTGACAGAAGATCAACTTTTGGTTTTTGTGTCTTTTTTTAGTGCAAATTTGATTTGTTGGACTTAGATGTAACCAATGGTAGCTAGAAGCTGTGCAAAGGCATAACTTATAGCCTTAGCAGAAGCTTCTACATAAGTCATTTTGGTATGCAAATTTCTCAAGGATCTTCCCTTCTATCTCCATGATAACTCAGTGTTATGGTGTGACAATAAAAATGCCATTAATTTTGGGTTCTAACTCTGTCTTCCGTGCTCAAACAAACCATAGAACTGATCACCAGTATAACTATTTTGGTATAGTTTATGCCTTCTACTTCTTAGATAATCAATAGTTTCTTTTGCTTAGGTGTGTACACCGTGATCAGCTTGAGGGGGTATTGAGACAAATTGTGGTTCCTAGTCACATCAGATTATTTCGTGATTCAATTGTTTATCACTTTGTTAGATTTTTTTTACAAGTGATTCTTTGGGATGTTAAGTGGAAGGCCCTTAAATTAATTTAAGGAGAAGGGGATTAAACTCGAGTACAAGGGGCGGGCACACTTACCAATGTCTAACCCACAGTTGCTATTTGTCCGGTAGATTATTCTTTGTACACCTCTCATAGTTACAACATTCCTTATTATGCTATGAGCGAATCTAAGAAATACCTTGTGTTGTATTTGTCATATTAGTTAGAATCATGTATAACACCACTTGATTATGTCTTTATATGTTTATTGTGTAAATAATAAATATAATTATTTGCTAGGTCAAATTATCTACGTCTTTTATTACGTGCAGCTGGTGCATGGCCGAGAGATTTCATGACTGGTTCAAATCCCATAACGTCAGAATCGCCTAGATATTCCAACATCTAAGCCATAAATCTAAACACGTGGCTAAAACATTATCCTCTTGTTATCTCTAAACACGTGGCTAAAACATTGGAAGCTCCTGAACTCCTAGTACAAAGAAAATCCACAAAAATTGTTTTTTTTTTCCAGGGTTTTCTTTTCCAATGTTGAAGACCATTAGCTTTGTCTTTTTCTTATTAAAAAAGAAAAATTAGCTTTGTCTTAGTTGAATTTTGGAAATTAAACAAATCTTAAAATATGATATTCAAAGGCAAAAATCATGGACAAATTGGTACCAAATAGGAAGGATGTTAGTTTCTTTGTAGATTAATTAATTATAGTTGTTTTACATTACAGATAAGGCTTATCTGGTTTTTCCTTTATTTTCTCGAATACACTGCTGAGCTCCAACTACCTCACTCTGGTTCCAGGACTAATTCAAGACCCGCCAGCTTAGGATCTCTAGATACAGAAGACTCCATTTTATCCATACATTTTTATATTTAAACCCTACAGAGTTTAGTGCTGAGAAAAACTGTGTTTGATAACAAATCGAAGGAACAATGACCAACCCAGATCAATCAAGTAGTGCTGTTCAAGCAGTAAGTGCAGATGTCTTTGATATTATATTCAAACATGTCCATTTTTGTTTCTTACACTGTTTTGAATTTTTCTAATTACAATCAAAATCTAATATTGTTATGAAATTGACATCCAGGGAAGCCAGCCAGGGTATACTAGCCCTCAACTCCCGGCAAACAACCCAGAGCCTACTAACCCTCAGGTTCCGAGAAATACCATTACACCAAGAGCTAATCGGTTGTTTTCTGACTAATTTTTTGTTTGTCTTTCTTAAAGGAATCTAACATTGCAATGCAATTTTAAAATCCAGGGAAATGCTGCAAACGCAAATGTGGCTGCAAGAACTACCCAGCAGGAAGCTGACATAAGTAGCTGGCTGCCTATAACTGCTAATAGGAATGCAAAATGGTGGTACTCAGCTTTCCACAATGTTACAGCTGTTGTTGGTGCAGGAGTTCTAGGGTTACCTTTTGCATTATCACAACTTGGCTGGTAAACATATCTCTCTTTCTACGAAGAAATAACTTATAAGATTAGAGTTGCGGATGAAATAGTCAATGAGACCATATATAAATAATTGAAATTACACTATCACATCAGTTGGGATCTAAAGTTTTTGAAATTTGAATGGCGCATGTCATATTAATCAAATAAATTTGGCATGCACCAAATCAATCAAATCCGAAAGAAACTTGATTTCTTTGTATATTTGAACCTTAATTTCCCCATATAAACTCATTTCTTATTGTTGATATTTATACAGGACCGCTGGAATTCTAGCCATAGTTATTTCATGGGTGATCACTTTCTACTCATTCTGGCAACTGATTATATTGCATGAAATAGTGCCCGGGAAGCGTTTTGATCGATACCCAGAACTAGGGCAGCATTGCTTTGGACCAAAGCTAGGGTATTGGATCATTATGCCACAGCAGTTGATTGTACAAGTGGCTTCATCCATTGTGTATTCAGTGACTGGTGGGAAGTCATTGAAAAAATTCTTCGATCTGGTCATTCCAAGCTGGGCTGATGTTAGACAAACATATTTCATCCTCTTCTTCACTGTTTGCCAATTAGTGATCTCCCAAACTCCGAATTTCAATTCTTTGAAAGGCATTTCTCTCATTGCCGCAGTCATGTCTTGCGGGTATATTATATTTCATAATCTTTCTTTTTGTTTTCTAGTTCTTATATTTATTTGTATGAAATAGTTTTTATCTGTTCCATATGGATGTTGTTAATTTCTGGAGGGGAAGGTGTTCCAGCCCTCTTAAAACCTCAGTTTTTAGTTCTAATTTGAAACATAAACTAAAGTTTCATATTGGCTTTCTTTTTGTTTTTCCCCAAGGAATCTGTGACGTGTAACATATTTACAGATCACATTATAGATTATAGAAAGGTTTCATTTCTGTGAGAGATGCAGTATACCCGTATTTTTTAATAATAAATCCAACTCATATGAATACGAGGATGCAAGATTGTATTCAATTTGTTGAGACTCTAAGCAAATATACAATTTAAAAATATGTTTTAAAAATATGTGTATTATATATAATGGACTGGTATATATTGGTTCTTCTTTGGAATATTTAATTGATGGTTGTGTAAAATGTGGATTAATTGGATGCAGTTACGCCATGATATCATTTGTGGCATCCACAATCAGGGGCGCCCATCACCATCAACATGTTAATCATGGAGTTCGGTCTCATGCAACCTCTGAAAAGTTTTTGATATGCTGAATGGATTTGGAACAATAGCATTTGCTTTTGCTGGGCATAGTGTGGCCTTGGAGATTCAAGCCACAATCCCTTCAACTCCAGAGAAGCCATCAAAAGTTGCCATGTGGAGAGGTGTTGTGGTTGCTTACATCATCGTGATATTTTGCTATCTTGCTGTTGCAATCTCGGGCTTCTGGGCTTTTGGCAATGCTGTAGAAGATGATGTTCTCATCTCACTAGAGAAACCTAACTGGCTCGTTGCATTGGCCAACATTATGGTGTTCTTTCATGTTATAGGAAGCTATCAGGTAAAGCTAAACCGTTACATTAATTCAAATTAATTAGAAGATGTATTAAATAGACTAAAGAAATTGTGAAATATTCAATCATTTGCTAATGGTTTTCTTTTTCTGTTTTGTATTCAGATCTTTTCAATGCCTGTGTTTGACGTTATTGAGTCATATTTAGTAGGAAATTTAGGTTTCAAACCCGGACGACTTTTACGCCTCATTGCTCGTAGTTTGTACGTACGTAAGTACCATTTCAATTTATACAAAACTACTCGTATACGTATCACATTCATGGGTAATGCATTGTTAAGTAAGACTAAGTTGCATATGTGAGTCTCTCGTATGCCTTATCACTACTTGAAAGATATTAATGTGATCAATCATGTAATCAGTAAATGTGATACATAGTATATTGTTATTCTTTTATTTTAAAGATTACAATTTCTTTATTTGTAACCATATTAGTTTTGGAATTCAACTTCAATTTCCTATTGCAACTTGACCAAAATTGATTGTTTTGAATATCCACTTATCTTTGTTAATTAATTCATGTATTTTCTCTTACTACCCATTTTCTAAAATTAAAAACAAGTTTTCTACGACATAAGCAAGTATTGATTATAGCTATTCTTCATTTGTGCTAATTCTATGTACTTGCCATATGTAGGGCACCTTCCATGTCCTGATATTTGATTTTGTTTGGAATGTTTATCCAGTCTTAGCAGGATTTATTGCAATGTGCATCCCATTTTTTGGAGGATTGCTAGGACTATTTGGAGGCCTAGTGTTCTCTTCGACATCATATTATGTAAGTCAATGATAAATATACGAGATGATGATTTAGTCACTCTACATCTCACATCTGCAATACTCTACTACTCACAAATGAGGAGTGCATGAGACATTTAACGGTGATTTCAAAGTGCCAAAATCATCACCGTGCACATTAGTTAATGATTATATTTAGTTATCTTGATTCATGATAATTAGTAAATACAATAAAATTTGGTGAATTTGGTGCAGATGCCTTGCGTTATGTGGCTTGTCACCCAAAAACCAAAGAGATTTAGCGTTCACTGGATTGCTTCATGGGTATGTTAAGAAATATTGGTCCATCCTAATTACGAAGATTTTCAGTAATTAATCTGTTTTAGCTGCAAGTTATCATTTTCTTTATCATTATTAGCAAATTGTCAAACTAACTAAGCATTATTATACTTATATATTATGTGCTTGATTTCAGATATCGATCATTATAGGAGTGCTGCTGGCAGTTTTTTCACCCATAGGAGGAGCACGTCAAATTATTGTATCAGCCAAAACTTACAAAATCTTTTCTTAGGGCTCAAATATTTGTTTCTTAGATAGATTGAATAGATAGTCTGTAAGATGTGGTTTGCCGATGCAAAACTCCACAACATGTAATTCTTTTTCTTCTATGTTCTGTATTCTTGTTTTTGGAGTTTTGGAAGACAAAAACAAGAATGCAATGTTGGATTGGAACTCAGTCTTATTTTCAATTAGAATTCATTATTTTATTTCAGCAAAATTTTAAATTGTGAGAACTACCCGTTATTTTTTGAATGGTTTGAAGTTTATTCAAGTATTCATGAGTGTATATTTTAGAGTTTGAAGTTTATTTTTGTTACTCTTTTATGTTTTCGAATGGTAACTTTAAAGTTTAGACTTTTGGCATGAGAATTTCTTTCTTTGGCCTTAAGTGGGAGTTGAGGTATAGTGTATGAGCTTGATGTTATGGTTGAACCTCTCCGTAATTTTATGAAGAATTTGTAGTTAGTGTATTTGTATTGTATTGTATTGGCCCCTGGAAATATTGTATTTGTAGCATTTCTGGCTGACAGCCCTTATACCTGAATAATGGATGCAATATTTCGACATTGGCCAAAAAACATAATGATTACTTTAAAGTTTAAGGTACTAAATAACTTCTTTTTTATTTATTTATAATTTGACTCGAATCACAAACTTTAGACTTGCAACTCGGAACTATGTACCGTAGATGTTTTAATCTATAAAAATATATATATATATATATATAGTTTTATTTCGAAATAAATAAATAAGTAAAGTGTCAACTCAAAAGTTCAAGCATTCATGGAAAAAGCCATGGGTTTTTTTAAGATCAATTAGGCTCCTTTTTTTGGGGTTATATCAAAATTCGAATGAATGGCCACAATATCTCTTTGTTATTATTTTTTACCAAAAAAAAATTTCTCGATTCATTTTGAAATTAATTGGACAATTACCATTTATAATACAAACCGACCATTTCTTTCCCCAAAGTCTCTTACACCCTTCCACCAAAAGATAAAATACTCTACACACCACTTAAATTTAAATTTCTTCTCCTTCAACGTTGGTGGTTCTCCTTCTTCTTTTTGCCCCATTTGTGTACCTAGGTAGCAGGGGTTTATGTAACTACGTACCTACCAATTAGGTTTGAGTGTTGAGTTAGTCTACCTATTAGGCCATTTCCACCCATGGTGCCATGACAAAGGGCAAAGGCAAGTAAAGGCAGGCACTATTCATGTGAATAGTGGCAGCCCTTGCAAAAGGCAAGTTATGTTTCCATCTATTGCCATGGCAACCCAAGAGCAATCACCTTTAGGCAGCTGCTCAGGCTGTTTTTGCCTTTGGGCCTGCCCAGGCTTGTGGAGGTTGCTTGCTACGTGCTGGAAGTTGCTTCGTAGGCCTAGTGGGCCTTATGCCCGAGCTGGGGTGTAGCGCTAGAAGTGCTCTTAAAGGGGATTGATTCGTGAGTTTTTTTTTGCATATATAAGTATGCTGATTATGTCTTCCTATTAATATAAGGTAACACAATATTTTATGTCAATGCATGCATATTTTAGATAAAGACGATAGATTGCATTTATATAACTGAGGCACAAAGGCCATTTGGCACAAGAGCTACTACAAATATAGATAACCACTTAAGGTTATTACAAATACGAAAGTGCAGTAACCACAAACGGTTAATCCAAATACGAAGGACTCCACTGGCAACATCAAGTGCACAAGTGTACCTCCACAAATAACCATAGAGAGCTAAAGAAATTTTGACATAAAAGTCGCATGCCTGCAAAAGTTAGGCATAGACCACAACACATATAACCACAACTATACACTACAATTTTTAAACTGTCACAAGTAAAAAATTACAAATAGAGACTACGGACACAATAAACTCAAAAATAATTGATGCACTTATTACAAACAAAAACTAAAACACACGAAGTAAATCAAGAGCTGGAACTTGAGCGGGAAAACAATGCATGCATGTTGTTGTCATATATACATGTGTTCTTCATCTTGACCTCTTGGTTAGGTAAACATATGCAAACTATATTATGTGTGCATTTTACCTATAATGCAGTTTTTCTTAATGTATATGAGTTATGATTTTTTATTTTATCCTTAAATGTTAAAAAGTAAAAATTTAAGAGTAACAATGCCTATTTTACTTTGAGGACTTTAAGGTAAATTGAGGACTTTAAATTTGTTTTAATTATTTTTAAAGGTAAAATAGACATTGAAAATAAATAATAAATAAAAATTGGGCCTCGATTACATGAGTGTAATACAATGGTTTTTCCCAACACTTTTAGCATAAAAGGGGTCTATATTAAAACACTGGTAAGCATAGAGAATCCAAATATAAGAAGTTATAGATATGGCATGTGTATGTAATTGATGTGGCATGTGTATGTTAGCTGCATTGCGTGCTTGTACTCACTACACATTTGTATGCAATTTAATACAGACCAAACAATTGTTTCAATTGCACCCCATAATATGGTTTTGTGATACTAGGCATCTTATCTATTTGTATATATAAAGGGATAAAGGTCAAAGAAAATCTCTTGCCAGGCACGTACCAATGCTCTCAATAATATACCACACACAAAAAAAAACACAACTACATTAGTCTGGCAAAAGAAGATAAGGGAGTGGTAGTTGATTGGCTTTAGGGACCTGCAGCCAGGCAGCACTAAGGGACCTATAGGTGTTAATGATAAACTGCTCATTTGTTCAAGAAGGATCATAGTTAATGTTTTATAGTTCTACTTGTTGGAAGTTTGAATGAAATTCAAGGATTTTTGTCTCATATTGGTAGAAATATGAAAAAGTGAAGCCCTTATAAGTGTGGTAGTCTTAGTAAACGGAAGTTGGACCAAGTAGAAGCCAATTAAGCTTAAAATTCGATTTGGACATTAAATATAATATAGATAATACATAATATTAATTATCAAAAAGATGGGCCTTGGGCCTTGGGGCACTTCAAATTTAAATCAAATTAGTTGATTGCCTAATTGATTCATTGCCTAGTTAATTTACTCATCATTAAGAAAATTTTATCCCAAAGAAAATAAAAGTAAAAAGAAAATTCGAATAATTAATTACTATTTATTAAGTTATATAATTTATGGGGTTAATTAAAATAATTAATATTAATTACTCACTAAAGAAATAATAATTAAAACATAATTACTAATGAAAGCAATTAAATAAGGCTAATATATTATTTAATTATTAAAATAAAATAAAATAATTATTTATTGACCTAAAGAAACTAATTATATATATATATTTTTTAAATGATACACTTTTCAATGTTTAAAGAGTACGGCTATACTGTTTAAATACTTTAATATATGCAAAGCGTATAGCCGTGCGGCTATACTGTTGGCATGGTATGTAGTTTTTATAGAAAATAAATAGAAACTTAGTATCTTTAGGTTAATAAGTTTATTTTTTAAATTTAGTAATTAAGTAATATCTTAGCATTTTTTAGTTAGGAAATACATAGTTTACTACTATAAGTGGTAGGTCTCCATCACATACGGAATGTATGGTGGGAGAGTAAAGTATTACATTGTGGATGTAGGTATGATAGGTGTATAGTGGGCATCCATCTTATCATGAATTTACAACAGTTTATAAATTGATGAGCTATTCTTCGTGTGAAAGAAAAGGAAAGGATCCCTAAAACGAAACCAATTATCGTTGCTACGAGAACTAATACTGTAGTTGACGGATGAGAACTAATACTGCAGTTGACGGGTTGGAACTCTCTGTAGATCAAAGTGACAGATTGCTCGGGCCGAAAGTAGAAACTCACAGGGTCTCTATATTTTCAATGAGGGTTTTTGTGACATTGTAGATGCTAGCTTTAAACTAGAAGACTCGCCTCTATGTAATATCGATTGAAAACTATCAGGTTTTTGTTCCTTTTTATTTGATCCAAAAGTGATCAGATTAAATAAATATGGGACATTCAATGGTTATAAAATTGTAATGTTGTATTGGAGAGTGTAATGAAGGAAGCGTGCGTTCAGACAATGAAGGAAGAGCAGCCACTGTACAAGTTATTGGGTTGGTGAAAACCATTATTTGTTCTATCCACAACTAAAGCAACAATCAAGACACATGAATCAAATATGATTTCAACCACATGCTTGTAGCTCATAGGTCTTAGGTTCGATTTCCCCCTCCCTCAATATCACTTGTATAAAAAGAAATAATAAGTCTGAAATTGAATCAAAGTGCATGAAATATATGTCATAGAATAGGATCCATGAACAAGAGGACGGTTTAACAGCACACCTCCTCATGCAGCAGCAGCGTCCTTCAAAAACTTTGTCTTGATTTTGTAGAGTGTGACCACATCTTCTTTCATACTTATCCTCTCTTCTGGTGATTCTGCACAGCAAGCAAGACTTAATCTCATAATGGCTGATAAGCAATCCCTCTTCCTCACATGATCATCATCTGCCTGCTCTGTCTCAATCCCAAGAAAATTGACATCCACAACTTCATCTATCTTTGCATCTGGTAATAATAGTGAGTTTGCAATCCATTGCTTTAAATTCACATCCCCACCAAACATCTCATCTGTTGGCTTTCTTCTTGTGAATGTTTCCATTACTACAGTTCCGAAATTGTACACATCGCCTCCTGTTGAAATGATTCCTTCCATCCCATACTCTGCAATATGAATTTTATTTCAATTTTGTACATAGATATGTGTGAATTATATTCATGTGTATGGTGAAAGGAAAATTATAAGTTAAGTTCTTCATAATTAAGTACAAGACGTATAAAATTAAAACATATTAAACAAGGTTGCAAGTACACTGGAGCCATATACCCAACTGTGTGAATTATATTCATGTGTATGTTGATTACTTTGAGATATTGTCATGTGTCCACTTTAAAATAGAAATCAAACTTTTTTACAGTTGGATTTATTTCTTAATTTTTATCTTATGAAATAAAATTAAGAAATTTGGAAAACTTCAAACTTCTCTTCACCATTAACTTGAATACTGAATACAACTTAAATAGCAAAATAACAAAGCAACTAAGCTAAATAATAGGAACAACTAATGCACTACTAAACCATGACATTCAGCCACTAACCACAACTCCATGACAACTTGGACTCTCCTATTAAACTAGCAACTAAAAAACCAAGTCCCTAAAGAATAGGACTTCTACAACTTAACAAGATAATCATAAACATAATAAATAGAATAATAAATATTCTTAACAAAGTAGCGGCAAAGCACCCATGAGGCCGTAGTTGCAGACTTGCAGCAAACACACCAAGTAAGAAAGCATTGAATTTCCGAGTTCAATTTTCCTGTTACCATTTCTCATGTGCCTATCTGTTTCCCATCTAACTTTTTGACATCTGTCCTTTCACTTAACTCTAAATTAACAGTGTTCAGTTTAATTAAATTAAAAAATGAAAACTAATAATTGAAAGAAAAACTTTTTTTATTTGTTGCTCCACTGCCTCTTCATTCATCTGCTCTTTTACTTTCTTCTCCGCATCGTCGCTAAATAACTTCAACGACACAATCGCATACACTGAGAGTTTCTGAAAGAAGTTGAAGGCTAGAATACTCCATTGATCCATGCTCCATGAATACCTAGCTCAGAGTCAGACCAACCAAATCCTTCCTTTCTTCTAAGTCCTGTGGACTAGTGGATCGACATATCTCAATCAAAATTACTGTAATATGAATTCATTATATGTACTCTAAGTTAACAGCGTTAACTTTTAATTAAATTAAAACTAATAATTGATGAAAAAAAGACCCAGCAAGGTTTCTCAACTTCAAGCTCTGTTTCGTTTTCTCATTAATTTTGTAGGAAGGGAAAGAGCATAAGAGAATCAAAATGTTTATGGAATGTTCATGAAGAAGCCAGACAAGGCACAGCCCCCTCTCCTGCTCACCGTCGGAAACTCTATTTCTCCCCTTTGATTTTGGATCAAGATCTATATTCTTTCCCTGCTCTTCGTCTTTGAAAGAGAGGGAGATTGAGAGGGAAGCAGAGAAATCAGGGAAGAGAGAGAGAGAGAGAGAGAGAAAGAAAGAAAGAAGGGGGGAGAGAGGTAGAGAAAAGGAGGCTTTGCCGGCGGAGAGAAGGAGAGGGGGTTGCTACAGGCTGGATGGGGTGGGTGGGAGTTTTGGTGGCCGGCTGGTTTGGGTTTGCTGAGGATTGGGGGTGGTGGGAGGGAGTTCACTCTTCGGTCTTTGTTTTCCCTTCAATTATTAGTTTTCATTTTTTTAGTTTAATTAAACTTAACACTGTTAACTTAGAGTTTAAGTAGAAGGACAGATGTCAAAAAGTTATGGGTAATAGGTGGGTACAGGAGAAATGGTAACAGGAAAATTGAACTCTGAATTTCCATCTATATATTATTGTCTTTAAGATTTAAATAAAATTATACCAAAACAAAACGGCATGAAATATAAGTCTTAGGATAGGATCCATTAATTAAAGCCCTTAACAAGAGGACGGTTTATTTGGGTGGCGCTAGGTGGGTTTGGGCGGCCCTAGACGGGTCTATGCTGCACTAGGCGGCGCTAGGCGGCGCTAGGCGGGTCTAGGCGGTGCTAGGTGGATCTAGGTGGGTCTAGGCGGCGCTAGGCGGGTCTGGCTGCCAGGGTGGGTCTGGTTCTTTTCTTTTATTCTTTAAGCCTACTGCCTAGCGATTTTTCAAACTTATGCACTGCAGGGCTGGTCTAGGCGGTGCTGGGAGGGTCTGGGCAGCGCTAGGCGAGTCTGGGAGGAGCTAGAAGGGTCTGGGCAACGCTAGATGGGTCTAGGCAGCGCTAGGCGGGTCTAGGCAGTGATAGGCAGCACTAGGCGGGTCTGGGTGCCAGGGTGGGTCTGGTTCTTTTCTTTTGTTCTTTTAGCCTACCACCTAGCGATTTTTCAAACTTCATCTATCTTTGCTAATTGTTCGCACAAGTCGTGATTGGGATACTGTTGGTTACACAGAAGGCTTTAACACTGTTGGAGACCAGTGGCAGACAACAAGTAACAGACTAGCTCCTTGATCGACATTAAAATTGTAGTTACATATCTCAAACTCCATTAGTAATATGTCACATTTTTTTCCAAGTGCGTGTGCCATTTTCTTCTTTGAAGCTGATATTTCGAGCAAAAACTGTATCCGATGCACCACCTTTTGACCCTAGCTATATTGTGTCATTGCAGGCACATTTCTGCAGCCACTTTCTTTTAGTCTATTCTTTCACTTCATTTTCTTCTATGTTTATTGATGGGATTCAAAATTATGGCAACTCATGTTTAGCAAGTTTGAATTTGATGGGAAACTGAATCCCACTTTTGTGGAAGGGGCATTTAACCTCCCATTATCAAGCATACGAGCATATCTAAAAAAGCCTATAACTCCCAGGTTTCACATTCTTTTCATTTTGTTGGATTATCTTCTTGACTAAACATAATTGATCTTCTAGGTGCACTTTCTGTTTTAGTCTTTAAAGAATCTCTTTGCTTGTGTTCTGTGTAGGTTCGTACACTTAGGTTCTGCAGGAGTTACCCAACCTGACAGGCATGGACTTGATCTAAGTAAACAACCTCCTACTGTTCGCTTAAACAAGGAATTGGATTTTATACTGACATTCAAGTTGAAGGTTTCATACTAATTCAGTGCAAGCTGTTTGATATTTATACCACTTCTAAGCTCTTTTCTGTTCTTTTTCTTTTTCTGGGTCAGATTTAGCTCTTTCGATTTTGCACATTGATAAGTTTTGGAGCATGGGGAGGATTTAATACGGAAAGTGGAATACCATATACAATTGTGAGGCCTTGTGCATTAACTGAGGAGCCTGCCGGAGTAGATCTCATTTTTGACCAAGGAGACAATATAACGGTGTATAATCAAATAGAAGATCACTATTCTCTCTTTGTTGTATGCCTGTGATGACATGTATTGCTCTTTCTTTCCCTTATAATAGTAATAATATCTGAATGTTATGATTTATAGTATTTATATATATGCAGGGTAAGATATCAAGAGAGGAGGTTGCTCAGATTTGTGTTGCTGCATTGGAAAGCCCCTATGCATCTGGCAAGACATTTGAGGTCACAGCCCGACTTATGTCCCTCAATTGTGTGCTGCGTGCTATGGCTGTAATTTGCTATTTTTGGAAGTTTATATGCGAAACGTATAGCCGTGGGGCTATACTGTTTAAATGCTGCCATATATGCGGCGAAGAGTATAGCCGGGCGGCTATACGGTTTAAATACTTTAATGCATGCAAGGAGTATAGCCACGGGGCTATACGGTAAAAAAACTTTAATACATGTAAAGAGTATAGCTAAGTATTTTCTCAAGAATAAAAAGTAATGTAAAAAAATGTAATGTTACGAAGATTATGTTTGAATCACCAAACAACTTCTGCAGGCGGATTTCTCAATTAAAACCAAAAACAAACAATTTTCTGGCGGATTTTAAAATGAACAACCTATATACATATATATTTAATATTTATTGGCCTGCCTTCATTTTGAGGACCCAGGTTCATTGCCATTCTATAGTTGCCATCAGAAGCTCTGCTGCAACACCAATGGGCACCAGGACAGCTCATAGAGCCTCCTCTTCATCATCATCCTTCTCCTCCTCAAAACAACATTGGATGTACGACGTGTTCTTGAGCTTCAGAGGTGAAGACACACGCAACAACTTCACGGGACACCTCTACATGGCGCTAAGAGAGGCTGGGATCAATGCCTTTTTCCACGACAATGAATTACGTAGAGGGGAATATATAACGGCCAAACTTGTGACGGCAATCCAAGGGTCTAGAATATCTGTCATCGTCTTCTCAAGGAGGTATGCCGAGTCGAGTTGGTGCCTTGATGAGCTGGTCAAGATCATGGAGAGCAGAACAACACTAGGGCAAACGGTTATGCCAATATTCTACGATATTGATCCATCGGATGTAAGAGAACAGAGGGGCAGCTTTGCTCAAGCATTTGAGAAACATGAAGAGAACTTGTTGTTAGGTAGAGAGAATAAGGTGGTGAGGTGGAGAGCTGCTCTTATTGAAGCTGCAAATTTGTCTGGCTGGGATCTCAGGAACGCTGCAGATGGGTATTTAATTACTAGTTTCTTTGAACAATAATGCTTAACTCATTTCTTTTAATACTTCCCATAATGTCTTTTTTTTTCTTTTTTTTTGCTACAGAGGTTTTGCTTACAGATCAGTTGGCAAAAGAATAGATATCTGTTTTTATATTATAAAAATAAAAATTGCAAACTAACATTTTATGTCCCCCAATTCTGATAGGTTGAATTTTCAATTCAGGTATGAAGCGAAGTTTATTAGAGAAATTATTGAAGGGATTACTAGATGGCTGCTGATGAACGAGACAATCTCGTCGGTAGTTGACTACGCTGTTGGACTAAATTCTCGGGTGCAAGATCTGAGTAACTATTTAGATGTTGGATCAGATGACGTTCGCATAGTTGGAATTTTGGGGATGGGTGGAATAGGCAAAACAACACTTGCCCGAGCCATTTATAACCAATTTTATCACAGCTTTGAAGGTAAAAGCTTACTTTTAAATGTGAGGGAAACTGCAAAGAAACCAAATGGACTGAAGCGTATGCAAGAACAAATTCTTTCTGACATCTTGAAACCAACCAAGATAGGGAGAGTTGATATCAATGTTTTAAAAACAAGACTTAGATGTCGAAGGGTACTTATCATAATCGACGATGTAGATCACAAGGACCAACTAAATGCATTGGCTACATATCGAGACTCGTTTGGTCCGGGAAGTAGAATTATTATAACGACAAGAGACAAGCATTTGCTAGAGCTATTTCAAGTGGATAAAATATATCATGCTCAAGAAATGAATGAAGAAGAAGCTCTTGAGCTTTTTAGCTGGCATGCCTTCAAAAACAATCGTCCTAATGCAGGATATTTTAAACTCTCAAAATGTGTTGTTGCGTATTGTGGAGGTTTGCCACTTGCTCTTGAAGTTTTAGGTTCTTTTCTATTTAGAAGAAGCACTAGAGAGTGGAAAAGTACATTGGATAAACTGAGAAAAATTCCTGCCGGAGATATTCAGAAACAACTCAAAATAAGCTTTGATGGGCTTAGTGATGATAAAGAGAGGGACATATTCCTTGATATATCTTGTTTCTTTATTGGAATGAACAGGAACTATGTCACACAAATATTAGATGGTTGTGGGTTTTTCCCAGAAATAGGACTAAGTGTCCTTATTGAACGGTGCCTTATAACTGTTAGTGAAGAAAACAAGTTGATGATGCATGATTTGCTTCGAGACATGGGCAGAGAAATTGTCTATGAAGAATCCCTTAATGATCCAAGAAATTGTAGTAGATTGTGGCATCCTGAAGATGTGACAGACGTACTGAAAAACGAATCTGTAAGTACTTTCTCAATCAAGTTTATGTTAAAAGCTTGTAATACAAGAAAAACTAATGATATGCATCCCAAATATAATAATTGTATGCCCTGGCTATGTACACAATCCAGTCATAATCATTTTTTGTACCATAGTAATTTTCATGGTCATATGCTTTGGATTATGTTTAAGTACCAAGAAAGGCTACAATACGAAACCGTTTTTAGCAGATTGGATTGTGGAAGATGTGATCAGATAGTGTTCAAATAGTTCTTACATGCATTCATGATTCTGCTTCCTTTGTATAAATCATTTTCCACATGAAAATAACCCTTTAATATATGGCATGCTCTTTCTTTAACAGGGAACTGAAGAAATTCAAGGAGTCACTCTAAATTTGATAAGATCTGAGAAGGCTACTTTCAGTACACATGCATTTACAAATATGAAGAAATTGAGATTGCTCAAACTCAACTATGTAGAGCTCACAGGAGAATACAAATATCTTTCCAGAAAGTTGAGATGGCTCTGCTGGCATGGATTCCCTCTAAAGATCATACCAAACGACTTTGATCAACAAAACCTAGTTGCCATGGATCTGCGGTACAGCAACCTCAGACATTTTTGGAAGGATGACGAGGTAAATATAACCAAAACCGAGGTTTTATACAAACCATCATACTCTCTCTTCTCTTCTTTTTGGATTTTGATTTCTGTATTCTGTTTTGTTTTTTGTTTTACCTAGCAATTGCTTGAGAAGTTGAAGATTCTTAACCTCAGTCATTCTTATCATCTATTGGAATCACCAAACTTTTCTAAACTCCCAAATCTTGAGACTTTGATACTCAAAGGATGTAAGAGTTTGTCTAAGGTTCACCAGTCTATTGGACATCTCGAAAGACTTGCTTCGGTGAATTTTAAAGACTGCAGAGTGCTTAAGGATCTCCCTAGGAGTTTTTATGAATCAAAATCTATTGAAACTCTTATTCTTGTTGGTTGTTGGGAATTTGAAAACTTGGCTGAGGACTTAGGGGACATGGTATCATTGACAACTATTCTTGCAGATAATACAGCCATAAGAAAAATACCATCTTCCATAGTACGATTGAAGAACCTGAAATATTTATCTCTTTGTAGCCTGAGATGGCGGTCACCATCTAACTGTTTACCCTGTCCCTTCTGGTCTTTGCAATTACCAAGACCGTATCGAAAATCCAATAATCTATTTCCTCCTTCATTACGGGGCTTATACTCTTTGAGAGAATTACATCTTAGAAGCTGCTATTTATTTCATGATGCTCCTGCTGATCTTGAGAGCCTAAAATCTTTGGAAGAATTAGATCTGGGATGCAATAGTTTTCATAGCCCTCCATATTTCAGTGGCCTTTCCAAACTTGAACATCTATCATTAGATAATTGCAATTTCACTAATGAGGAAATTGATTCTATGAATATTGGGAGTCTAACTTCTTTATTAGCTTTAAACCTGGAAGGAAACAGCTTTCATTGCCTTCCCGACCTCAGCAGCCTTTCCAAGCTTGATTGTCTGATATTGAATGATTGCACAAACCTTCGTGAAATGCCAAAATTACCAACAAGTTTGACGCAGCTGGTTGCGGATGACTGCACTGCATTGCAAACCATGCCAAATTTTTCAGAAATGTTGAATATAGACACATTGCATCTAAGTCATTCGCATAAACTTATTGAGTTTCCAGGCTTGGATACAGCATTAAATTCTATGAGATTGATTCGGATGGAAGGCTGCACCAATATTAGTTCTACTGTTAAGAAGAACCTTTTGCAGGTTCTGTCTATCTTAAACACTTATACATACATGCACATGCACAAGCATGTCAGTTTTCTTCACCATAAAGTTAATTAATTATTGCTCTACATGGTATAGGGATGGAATTCGAGCGGAGGTGGTGGCCTTTATCTCCCTGGAAATGATATTCCGGAGTGGTTCACTTATGTCAATGAGGGCGATGAAGTCTCTTTTGAAGTGCCTCAAGTTTCTGGTTGTAACTTAAAAGCGTTGACTGTGTGCACCGTTTATAAGTGTTTACAGGAGGAAAAATCTAAATTATATATCTCCATTTTTGTTACAAATCATAGCAACTGCACTAGTTTTCTTGTCCAGCCGACATATCCCTACACAACAATTTCCCATGAAGTTATTTGGCAGGGGCATTTGTCAAACAAGGATTTCAATTTGGAAGGCGGAGACTTCATTGAGGTTTGTGTTGCATTTGGATCTGGTCATACGGTGAAGAAGATAGGAGTCAGTCTTTTATGGGACAAATTTATATATGATACTGACTCTTTTATTGCGTGCAAGTCTGTCCCATATGCTTATTCTCTTAGAGATGATGAAGATGACGATGAAGAATATGATGAAGACGACAACGATGATTATTATAAGGATGATGATGATGAGGAGGAGGAGGAGGACGATGATGATGATGATGATGATGGTGATGAGGATGATGATGAAGACGGTGACGATGATCATGAGCCAGAAATCAAGTTCAGTGGCCTTTATGATGATGAGGCAGGACCAAGCCTCCGCTCATCTGACCTCAATATTGAAATGAGAAGAATGAACATGGAAGAAAGCTGAAAGGGAAGTATATATGGAAGCATCAAAGCACAAAATAAATCTGCTGGGAAACAGAATCATGTAAACGTGAAGAAATCAGCAGCCAATCAACCCAAAAAGAAAAAGAAAAAAGATCAAAGGTGTGAAAAAAATGAACTTAATATCCACATTGGATAGTATGTATATTCATTCAACTAACTAAAACTTTAATTTATTGTATTGCAATGTCAAATAAGCCAAATGTTTTCTTTTTTTTTCTTTAAATTTGTCTTTTTTTTTTTTTTTTTTTTTTTGTTTGTTTTTATCAATGTTACAGAAAGAGAAAGCTAAGCACAGCTTTCTTTACATTGTAGTAACTATAATTTCCCCATTCGTAATGTACACGAGCTTTATTGTCCAGTACTTTTACCAATTTGGCTGAGCCCCAGAGGCATAAACTTAATTAGGACTTTTTCCCTCTATGGATGCAGATATTTGGAGCATAAATCAGAGCTGATGTGCTGCTTGGCCTGTTGATGGACAAACAGGGCCAGAAATTTTCATAGGAGTAAGCCATATATCCAGTTATTTTTCATTTAAAGAGCTGTTGGAGTGAAGTAGCTAGACTAATTTTTTCTAAGACGGGGTGAACTAATTTCCACTAAATAGGATGAACTTCCTAAAATTTAGTACTAAACTATTTTTTTTCACTCTAACCTAAGGGTGGCTCCGCGTGCAAATCAGATTGCATGTCTGGCTAGGCGGAGGAGCATTGTCCTCCTGGTCCCCGTTCCGATGGTTTATTTGATGTTATTGTTAGCAGGATTGTAAAGAGAAATCTAAAATCATCTTCTTTATGGAAGAAATTAAAAATAATAAAATAAATTGCTAGCAAAAGTTGACTCTTAAAGTCCAGCACCCAAGAAGCACTTTCTGTCATGTCACTTTCTTTTTACAAACGTAGTCAAATATTTCCATCATTTTTTGAAGGTTTTTTTTTATCACAAATAGTCCTGGAGGTTTACGAAATTATCACTTTTCTTTTTTTTTGGTAACACCAATGGTTCTTAAGGTTACCCTCCCCACATCAAAATAGTCCATGCTGTTAGTTTCCGGAAATTTTTTTGTTAAATTGATGACGTGGCACATGTGTGGAGCCCACACATCAAATGGTATAGAGCCATGTGGTTTTTCCTAATTTTTTTTTATAAAAATGTACAATACTTGTATTGAACATGTACATATGTATATTTCATATTTAATACACTTATTTTTTACAAAATTTTAAATAATACACACAACATTCATGTACTATATACATAATTCTCACATATTATTGAATGCAAATCATATATATTAAAATATTATATAGTAGCCGAACTTTTAATTTCAAATTTGCCAAAATTTTGTTGAATAAAATAATTACGTATTTTATTCGTTTAGCCACACAGCTATACAAAGTTAATATTTACGAAGTATAAACTAATGCAACTAGGAGGGTCCTTCTTTCTTAATATTTTTTCTTAAGAAATAGTATAGCCGAACGGCGATACTTTGTATTTTTAATTTTTAAAAAGAAATCGTATAACCGCGCAGCCATACTAGGTTTTTTCCCCAATTTTTTTTGAAAAGAAATAGTTTAGCCGTTCGGCTATACTCTTTTTTTAATTTTTTTTAAAAACAAATAGTATGGCCGTGCGCGGCTATACTTGGGTTTTTCCTAATTTTTTAACAAGCAAACGTATAGTACTCGTATCGAACATGTGCATACTTATATTTTATATTTAATACACTTATTTTTTTTACAAAGTTTTAAGTAATACACACAAAATTCACATATTATACACATAATTCTCACATATTATTGAATGCAAATAATTTATATTAAAATATTATATAATGGTCGAACTTTTAAGTTGTAATTTGCCAAAATTTTGTCGAATAAAACAATTACGTATAGCCGTGCGGCTATACCAAATTAATATCTATAAAGTATAAACTAGTGCAACTATGAGGGTCCTTCTTTCTTAATTTTATTTATTAAATCGTATAGCCGCACGGCTATACTATGTTTTTTTATACATTTTTGAAAGAAATAGTATAGCAGCCTAGGTATACTAATTTCCCCCTAATTTTTGTAAAAAATAAATAATATAGTCGTGCTGTTATACTATGTTTTTTCTAATTTTTTAAAAGAAATGGTATAGCCGCGACACTATACCCGAGTTTTTCCTAATTTTTTACAAATCAAAAGTACAATACTCTTATCGAACATGTACATATATATTTCATATTTAATACTCTTATTTTTTTACAAAATTTTAAATAATGCACACAAGATTCACGTATTATGCACATAGTTACCACATATTATTGAATGCATATAATATAAATTAAAATATTATATAGTTGCTGAACTTTTAAGTTGTAATTTGCCAAAATTTTATCAAGTAAAACAATTACATCGTATAGCCGCGCGGCTATACCAAATTAATATCTATAAAGTATAAACTAATGCAACTAGGAGGGTCCTTATTTCTTAATATTTTTTTATCAAATAGTATAGCCGTGCGGCTATAGCCAAACGGGTATACTCTGTTTTTCTAACTTTTTAAAATAAATAGTATAGCCGCACGGCAATACTTGGTCTACCACTAATTTTTGTAAAAAAACAGAGATAGTATAGCCGTGCGGCGATACTCTGTTTTTTTTTTCTAATTTTTTCAAAAGACTTTTTTTCCTAACTTGTTTAAAAAAGGAATCGTATAGCCGCACGGCTATACTCTGTGTTAGTATATCCGCGCAGCCATACTGGAAGGAAAGTTTTCGCTATCGACAATGCCTAATCAGGTTGTATTCTATTGGGAAAGGCCTTCTCCTGGAGTTGACATTCTTAAAAAAAATCAGTTGTGGACTTCCAATCCCTTTTTACATCCTTGTAACGAAGCGCACGTGGACTTGGATAGGTCATGCCCAGATGATTGGTGACAAATTGAAACTCTTTTTGACATATCATATAAAGTATCTGCTTGGGTTCGGATCGGTGTGTGGTGGAGTATCTGCTTGAAATAATATATTTAAAGGCATATACGCTTCGAATAATATATTTAAAGAGTATAGTCGCACGTCTATACTTTTTAAATAATATATTTAGTATAGCCGGGCAGCGATACCCTTAAAATGATATATTTAATGAGTATTACCGAGCGGCGATACTATTTAAATAATATATTTAATAAGTATAGCCAAGCGGCTATACCCTTTAAATAATATATTTAAATGACAAAATGCTATATTCTTTATATGGGTAATAAGTAAAAATTCAAAAGGGGACAATAGAGAGACTCAGGTAATGGCCTAATAGTAATAGATAATGCTCTAAACTACTAAAACTAAAAAAAAAAAAGCCGTGCGGCTATACTATTTATTAAAATAAAATAAAAAAAGAACCCGCCTAGACCGCCTAGGCGGCTGATTTTTCGAAATTTTAAATGGCGTGTTTTTTTTTAGATTCCTTTTTTCCTAGCAGGTCTGGCATCTCTGCAAATACTCACAAATGGAGATCATCCTTCCTGTTGGTGATATGAGATATGAATCATTCTTGAACAAATCAAAGCAGGACATAGCCTCTTCTTCAGGGTTGGTGCTGGGAAGGTCATTGTTCATCAGCTCTAAGAGATCCTTGGTTTCCATAAATTAGGGTGAACCGTGGGAGTTGCCTGCATTCAATCAATATCATCAGAATCAAATGACCAACTATCGCCACTATTTCAATTTCGAAAGGAAAATCAAGGAGAAATCTGAGTTGCAAGCAGTAAGATTTACTTTTTTTTCCTCCTGTTTTTTAGCTGGCATGTATGTTTGGTGACTTAATGCATTATGTTGTTTGTTTTTTTATGGTTTTGGCAATGTTAATTATTCATATAGAATGCAGGCTCAGAGTTAGAGTTTATAAGAAATTATGATTCTTTGCCGTGTCTATAAGTTAATCACATGATGTATGGATTTTGCAGCTTCAGCAGTAGAACCTTTCTACAAGGAGATCCGTTTCTTGGAATTTTCAGGACTCTTGATCTTTTATCTCCTCTGTTGGTTATGTTGATGGTTCGTTTTCTCTATGCAAAGGAGAATTTGCAAGGCATACAAAAACACCACAGCACAACGATGTGCCATGCTCAGTTTTGTTTTGGCGAGGATGGTAGAGTGCCCATGTGAAAAGTTTGACACAACAGGTTCCTTATGCAACAACACATATAAAAGTGAATCAGGAGATGATTGCAGGTCAAAGCCAAAAAGGTGGCAGGCCTCTCGTCTCTGTTTTACATTTGTGATGTCGCAACTACCGGACGGTCATTCCTAAGGGAAAACCTCCTAGAGATAGTGTGACCACTTGAAGAATACTTAGCTTGCCGAATTTTCAAAAAGAACCTTATCTTTCTTGAAATCAATTGTAAAATATGCAGGCTCAGCATTTGCAATGCAAGGAAAAGTAAAAATTGACACACAATTTGTATAGGTTAGTATCATATACTTGTGAAGGGCGGTGACTACATCTTTATATGAAATATATATATATATATATATCATGATGAGTCTTGTTTATGGCAAGGAGGTGCAGCTTATTCTGGTGAATTTGGATGTATCTGACAATGATCTCAACTCCTTCCCATCTGGAATCTGCAACAATTTGCTTCTCTGTTTTTACCACCCAGCAGCACCCCACACAAAAATCTGCAAGGCCAAAACGACGTCCATCGTTAAATAACAGAAGTCACATTAGAGTAGAAGCCATGTCTGAAAGTAATATTATAGTTTCCAATATGCATCAGCACCAGAAGAAACTATTACATTCAGAGTGTTTGAGAAGGCAAGGCTAGTGACTCTTTTGGTGTGACCCTCAAGCTTCCTTGTAACCTGCGAAGTATATAAATCAAGGCAATGACAAACTTTTCAGGTTTGCTTCATCACAACATCGAGCATGATTTTTTTTTTACAAGAACAAACAAGCTACCTCGTCTGAGTGGAGATTGTATATTACAATGGTGGAATTGTCCATGCCAATAGCAACTATACTGTCATCTCGGGGGTGAAAAGCAAGACATGTTGCCGCAGGTGGCGGTGGCATGACTTGCTTCATCGTCCGCGTTTTTACGCAACAGATTTTTATGAGTACAATGAGTTAGATCATGAGAAATTTGCAAACAGAACCTAAGCATATTGACAAACAAGATTTGGGAAGTTCTGGCTGGGAAAAGAAAATTTCAAGAATGCTATTTGTGTTGGGTTTACCTTAAATATTGTCATGTCAAAAATGGAGATCATCCCTCCTGTTGCTTATATGAGATATGAATCATTCTTGGACAAATCAAAGCAGGACATAGAGTCTTCAGGGTTGATGCCCAGGTCATTTTTCATCAGCTCTAAGCCACTCCTTGGTTTCCATAAATTAGGGTGAACCTTGGGAGTTGCCTGCATTCAATCAATATCATCAGAATCAAATGACCAACTATCACTTCGATTTCAATTTCGAAAGGAAAGAGAGGAGATATCTAATAGGAAAGAATTATAAAGCATGTCATTCTTTACCAGTCAACTAGAATTAAGGTCCTGTGGCCATTTCCAGTGAAAATGTATGTCATTTGATGCTAACACCAAAATGGCATGAGCTGAGAAAATAAATAGTATAGCCGCTCGGCTATACTATGTATTTATAAAATTTAAAAATAAAAGCCGCCTAGCCCGCCTAGGCGACCGATTTTTCGAAAAATTGAATGGCGTTTGTTTTTCAGATTTCTTTTTTCCTGGCGGGTCTGGCATCTCTGCAAATACATTTTTGTCAATTCTCAGTAACGTAATCTGGGTGAAATGCAGCTTTTGGATCCATAAGATGGGGAAAAAGAGTAAATCAAAAACTCCCAGAGAGATGCAAGATAATACAGCTGCTGTAGAAGAGGAAAAACCCTCATCTTCGGCTAAGAAATTGCTAAATCATTGGTTGAGATTCAGTTCAGGTTTACCATGCATATATTTTGGTTTTGATTTATGTTTCAATTACTAGGCATATGAAGCCTCTATCTGATCCTACTTTCTGCAACAGGAACAGTTGGAGAGCAATGAGGGTGATCCTGTGCTACTTGTTTACATTCCGTGAGTATCCACTTTTGTTGTTTTATGTGTTATCTTCAGGACATGAGTTAAAGAATGCATGAACATGAAATGGATGGGGACAGGGAGATCCATTGGTTGAGTACTTGTACCCATTTTTCCATATTTTCATTCAATTTCAATGCTAACATGTCTTGTTAGATCTCCATAGTCCGATCTGTATCAGTTTGAGTATGGGATTCAACCTTAGTAGCATCTCCATGTTCACCTAAAACAAACATAACACTTAATTTGTGTGTCATTTATAATTATCTTTTGTTCTTGTGCTCATCTGCTATATCTGATGTTATACATAGATGAACTTATTTCTGAAACATTTGTGCTGCATCTTGAGAAATTTTATTAAAACCTACCATTCCAAGACCAAGTTATCTCTGATGTCGTTACTTTACGTTCTAATTAAGTTATATTTTGTTCATTTATTTCTGATAGATTTACATCAGATGTCAAGATCAATAGCATTTCAATTATTGGAGGTGCTGATGGAACAAATCCTTCCAAGATGAGGGCGTAAGTTCGAACTTTAATATTTTCTTTTAGCTCCTTCATTTTAGGACCTACCTGATTGGAACAATGAGATGGTCTGTGTTCATGAGTTTATTTCAGTGCATAGTTCTTGAAAGAGGTATGCATTCATCTGTTAAAGACATGTAGAGAATCATTTTGTATTTGATACAGCACATAGGATTTTAGGACATGGCATGCTTTTGCTTATGCTTTCAAATTTTTGGTGTTTATTTTTTAAAGCAATCTGTATTCTGTGTGTTGGTTGTAGTTGTGGTGCTTGAAGAAACATAGCCCATATTCAGGGACTATGTTAGATGCATTCTCTGTATAAATATTTGGTTCTAGTCTTGGTAGTTGGGTTAAAGGATTATATGCATATTTTTATCAGAGGATGGATGATTCTGGTCTAAGGGTATTCTAATAATTTGTTTTCCCCTGTGTGCAGTCTTGCAAACGTTGATCCTATTGATGTCGCCAGAAATATTGCAGGGTTAAACCCAGAAACTACCCTTGATAAGCATTAAGTTTATTTATATAACTAAATATTGACTTTTATAATCTAAGCTCTATGTGGGGTTTCTTATCGTTCATTCATATTCTTTTGATATTTGCAGTTGTGGTAGTTTCAAAGACCTTTACAACAACTGAAACTATGTTGAATGCTCGAACCCTTAGGGAATGGATTTCATCTTCTCTCAGGTTAGTGTGCCACCAACACTTCTTCAAGTATATGAACAGGTTGTTTCAGTTCAGGATTTGCTTAATAATCATTGGGTTAATTTAAACAAACGTGAATGAGCTTGGGAGCGGGTGGAATGAATCATACTTGGAATAGCTTAGTAATTTTATAATTGAATAATTTAGTAATCAAGATGGTATGATGGAGTGAAGGGTTGTTATGTCTTTGTAGTTAATCATTGATTTTGTCAGATAAAATGTAAGTTTTGAAGATCTGCCAGCGTCTCTCTCTTTCTCACGATTGAGCGTGACAATTTCAGGCCTGATGTAGTTGCAAAGCATATGGTAGCAGTCAGCACTAATCTTACAGCGTGGCTATTTCCTTTGTTGTCTTGCCTTTAGTTGCGAGGCATATACTGTTGAAATATTCTATTTGCAGAGTATAGCCGGGCGGCTATACTTGTGAAAAATTCTATTTACAGAATTTCGCCGCGTGGCTATACTTTTGAAAATTTCTATTTATATAGTATAGCCGATCGGCTATACTATATAAATATTCTATTTGTAGAGTATCGCCGTGCGGCTATACTGTTGAAATTTCTATTTACAGGGTATAGCCGGTCGGCTATACGCGTGAAAAATTTATTTACAGAGTATAGCCCCACGGCTATACGGTTGAAAATTTCTATTTATAAAGTGTCGCTGCGACTATATTTGTAGAGTATAGCCGTGCGGATATACCGTTGAAATACTCTATGCTTGAAAGATATTTCCACATTGCACCAACAATAAAAATATGAATTTATATTTGCCGGGTTAGACTTCTCCCGACAAAATTTCTTTGGAAGAGGTTTCTTTTAAAAAGAAATAATATATATCTTTAGGTCAATAGATTTTTTTTTTAAAAACTTTCTTTTATTACTTAAATCATATCTTAGCCTTATTTAATTACTTTCATTAGTAATCATGTTTTAATTATTATTTCTTCAATATTTTAATCAACTTCACAAATTATATTACTTCATAAATAATAATTAATTTTTTTAATTTTTTTCTTTGATAAAATATTTAAATATGAAGTCCCAAATATTGAGTTTTGGTACGTGGAATGCATTCCATGTCTGGTGATGTCAAATTGATTCGTGAAAAAGGAGCGCACGAAAAATGAAAACGAAAACTGAAAACTGAAAACACTTCCAAATAGTTTTAAAAAAATAAGGGTAATTCTGATAATTTGATTTCACTTTTCAAAACGGAAAACCAAATATGTTACCAAACATCTGACGTAACAACTCATATAAATAGCACGTCCACCACTCATTCTTTGACTATAAACTTGAAGTTCGCTTATTGCAATGTGAAGGCACTACTTGCAATCTTCATGTGACAAGTCTTTGGTACACTCAACCAAATTGTAAAAATCAATCCTTTTTGTCCTTTTATTCCTCTTTGTCACTTGAATGCTTCCAGTAGCATACAATTGTCCAGAAACAATTTCAGAAGTTAATCGATTTAACAAATGATCTAGTGTCATTGGAAATAACTTGGAATTAGGAACAGGTTGAGGATTTTTCCCATACACCCCGTTATCCGTGTCAATTATACCAAAGAATTTTGTGTATGAGTATTTTAGGACACAACCAACCATTCATATTATAGCTCCTCAACTAAGACGACAACGCTCGCGAAGATTTCGGCTTGTTGTATTGAGACACCTTTTGCATGATGCATAGCGCTCATGATTCAGACTAAAGTCCCAACATTGCACTAGCCCATATATAGAACTAATTTTTGTTGCTATAGATTTAGATTTGTCACCAACGATTTCACTTTGATATCCAGAATCTGGAATTTCTTCAGATAATCTTTGTGTCAATAATGTAATTAAGTTTTTCTCAAAATTCCCATTATTGGGTAGAAATTCTACCTTATTGAAACGGCTATGCCCCAAAACAAGAGGTCCGATACATGAGGTATTCAATAGGTTGAACTAAAGTACAATTTATGTTTTTGAGAAGCACATATATATAGATGATAATCACGATTTTACCCTTAGGTTTATGTAATATTTATAGCACACATTGTGAGTGTATTAGTGTTATACCTGTTATAATATAATTAGAAGCTAGTGTTAATTTTTTCTCGTTGACTATAACATATTAGTTATACTAATTAAAGATTTGGCCAATTTGTTTCATGAAAGGCTACTTCATATATATATATATATATGTATAAGATATTAAATTTAAATTCTTTTTGTTCTTAAAAAAGCTATATGATCTTTTGTATAGTTAATGGGACAATGTATGTCATTGTTCCTTTCAAAATAAAGTATATAATTTCGGTTATAATAGTAAGAAAGACACATTTCCTAAACAAGGAAAAAGATGGAAATAATGGTTCTATATTAGGTATTCCTTCAAAATCATCTATGCAAAAAATCATTTGAATTTGAATCCATTTCATGTATCCCGAGCCCCTATATTTAGCATCCACGCATTTAAAAGAATCTTAACTATTTGATTAATATAATGGAAATTAATTATTCCACCTCAGAATAGTTGTATTATATTTAAACTCACAATTTGCACCGTATCAAAGAACAAAATGGCACCAAAACAGCAATAAATATTCAATATTTATTTTGGTAAATAGTAATAATGATATTGATAATTAATGCATGAGCAAAAACGTTTTTTTTTTTTTAGAGAAATGAGCCAAAAAATGTTAATTACTTGATATCAAGCCTAAAAATTTATTGTGGTTCAATAATTTTCAATATTTTAATAGCAAGCCAAGCTTTGAGCTTTTCCTTGTATTTATTTTCAAGGTCCTGCAAGTCAAGGAGAGAAGGATGCGCAGGAGAGAAGCATGTGTCTTTCCCCCTTCTTGAGAATCTGAAAAATATTTCCATGGTTTATGGTTTGTTGGTCGATATGCAATTAGTCTAATTGTGGTTCGACCAAAAATTACATGGTTCATAATATATATGAATGAAGGGATCAATTAATTACGTGTTTGGATAGTAATGAAATGATATAATTATAAGAGTGAATGGGAAAGAAAGACTATAGGAGAGAAGAGTAAGTGATTCGGTGTAACAAGTGAGTTTTTACTAACATATAACTACGATAAGGTGTAATACTTAATCTCCATATTAGATTAATTAAATGGTTAAGATTCTTCCAAATGCGTATAAATACGTGAATGCTAAATATGGAGGGTCGGGATCCCCATTTCACCACTCTATTATGTTGGCATGATTTATTTCCTAAGTTAATTAGGTGATTTATTTCCTATTAGTGCAGTTGACATATCCCTATATAACTAGGAGATATTTCCTATTTAGTTCATATATATATATATATATATCCTTATAAAGTACACATGTAAAACACTATATTTTATTCCTTATAGAGAAGAAGACAATTATCCAAATATTCAAACCATACAATTCTTAGCATGGTATCAGAGTGGCCGATCCTAGGTCGACTCTAAACCCTCAAATCATATCCTCAATTTCAAACACAAACCTAAATCCTCAAATCAAATCCCCTTACCAAATTCCTAAACACAAACCCAAATCAAATCTCATACAATTCCATTGCGATGTTAAACTATCTCGCTCAAAAAAGGATGTTCCAACTCCAATCCTCAAATTGTCACAACTCCAATCCTCTACTTGTACAAGTCTATTGGAATTATCAAAGCAACATACAATACACCTCACTTGGGATTCCTAAGAACAACGATAACTGAATCCCCACGGAGAAACATCTTACTGATGATAATCTATCCTTCCTTGTTAACCGGGTTGAGCCTTTTTTTTTCCTTTTCCAGTCTTTGGCACCTGCACTGCATACACACCAAAAAAAAAAGATCACACAAATATCACGAGAAAAAAGAACTTTGATGATTGATGAAGATCTACCAACCAACACAAAAGAAAACAGAACTGAATAATGAAACAAAACACAAGAGAGAAAAATAAAACGGATTTCAGAATGAGAAGGAAGAGAAAATCACATGACGAAAAGAGAGCTCGTATACTAGCACACCTGATTAATTGAAACGTATAAATAATAAATGTACATCTAAATATTATTGTTTCTGCAGATATTAATTGATTGGTGCTGTTGTTGACAACCTCTCACCATTAACATTAGCATTAGCTAGCATCCACCCACCATTCCTAAAATAATATATAATATATTTAATGCGTATAGCCGCGCTGTTATACCCTTCAAATAATATATTTAAATGAGAAAATGCTAGATTCTTTATATGGGTAATAATTAAAAAATCAAAAGGGGACAATAGAGACTCGGGTGATGGCCTAATGCTCTAAACTACTCTTATAAATAAAGGAAAATGAGGGAAATTTTAAGTAAATTTTAAAAAGAGTATAGCCGAGCGGCTATACTATTTATTAAAATAAAATAAAAAAACAGCCCGCCTAGCCCGCCTAGGCGGCCGATTTTTCGAAAACTTGAACGGCGTGTTTTTTTTAGATTTCTTTTTTTCCTGGCGGGTCTGGCATCTCTGCAAATACTCGAAAATGGTGATCATCCCTCCTGTTGGTGATATGAGATATGAATCATTCTTGGACAAATCAAAACAGGACATAGCCTCTTCTTCAGGGTTGGTGCTGGGAAGGTCATTGTTCATCAAATTTTTTCTATGTACTGTGAAAGTGGAATGATTGTGAAAGAGTGACGAAGTAGTCATGGCAGACGGTGGGGTGTGGGGTGGGGGTGTGGGGGGTTTGTCGATGGTTTCTGGTGGGGGTTTTCTTTTTTTTTTTTTTTTTTTTTTTTTTTTTTTTTTTTTTTTTTTTTTTTTTAAG